CAGTGAAGCAAATTCAAAAGGAAAATCAGAGGAAAGGGCTGTCAATGGACCACCTTGAAAGTTGAAAAGCTCAAAGGCATGCAATGCAAGCAGATGCATGGTTGTTATTAAACTTCAGCATTTTTTTGAGAAATTTTAATTTATAATTTGGTTTAAAAATTCAAATTAATTTCATACATAAATTAAAAGTTATAAAATTTTAAACATCAAACACTTGATTTCAACTTTTATAATAATAATAAAAAAATTCTTTCGTAAACCGAATAAAAAACTCACTTGCAATAGAGACAAGAAACACCTTTTTCCTTCGTAGTTTTCAAGCAATTGGAAATTATCAAAAGAAGATTTTGCGGAGATATTTCAATAGAGACAAAACAAACTTTTTCCTTTGTAGTTTTCAAGGAATTAGAAATTATCAATAGAAGATTTTGTGGAGATATGTCCTCAATAACTGAAGAGGCTGATATGCTTTTATGGCAAAGATTGCTGTCAAGCTTTTTTTAGATTTGTACACACATGCGATATCAATTTATTAATAAAATGCAAATCACAAAACCAAAGCAAATTTTGTACATTTAGTTGAAAATTAGTGCTTAAAAATTCCTACATTTTCAAACGTTACCACACTTATCTGTATATAATTATTTATACAAATATTTTGTATAAATAAATTTGCAAATTTTTTGACAAGAAAGTTTAAAAAGTACCCTTAGAATACTCATTAATAAAGATCTTCTCCAATTTTTTGTAAATTAAAGCTCTTAGATTTAAAAGATATAAAAGTTGCAAAATCAAAAAAATCTTTCATGAACAACCTTGAAAGATTCTAAGACATTTCGTAATGAAAAGAAAGAAGAAAGAAAAAAACATAAGTTTGCAGGAAACTTAAATGTTTTGCAAAAATTCAAGACAGCAAACTGAAAAGGAGATGGTTAAGAGCAATAATTTGGCAGTTGATAAGAGCTTGAGTGCAAGATGTCGTGAATGTTGTTTAGTAATGAAATGATTAAGATTAAAAAATTGGGATTATAAAAATAAGCATGCGCCTTTTGGTTTTAAATGAGAGGAAATCGAGAGAAGATTGAGCGGAGATATGCCCCTAACAACAAGGGCCTAGCCCAAGCTTAGGTGGTTAAAATTGGCTTAATTATAATAGTATGCATATAATATATACGCCTTCAAATGTTCCATACTATATATATACACACACACACACGCACAAATACATACATACACTTTGTCACTGAGAACACTAGAATTTGATTGGCAAACAACACATTCATTCATTATATAAGTTAAGCACTTTCATTGTGGGGAATCCACCTTCATTTTAAGCTCAGCTTTGCACTTGTGAACTCAGCCATTGTTGTTTTGAGGTTAGTCTTTACTGCAATCTGTCTGATTTTGTTCAACTTTTCCAGTTACAACGTTATATTTTTCTTTACCATGGAGAACATTCATTTTTCATTTTGTACATAAAAATTTCATTTGGGTTTTACGAAATGAATTAGCTGGCCATAGACCTCTCAATCATTCATTTCATAGAAATTTAGTTGTGTTTCTATTCTTGTTCTTCCGGTTGAGGACAGTCTGTCACCGGATAGCAATACATATATACATTTAGAACTGTGAAAGCTATGATTTCTCTTTCATGGATTTGTTTGCTTGGACAAACTTAAGATGTTGTGAACAGTTTGACAAGCTCCGCTATTAAGCTATGAGTTAAATGAAGCACTACAAAGAAGCAATTGTGAAGATGTGATATGCATGAAAGAAGGCAATTAATCATCAAGGCACTATTACTTGGAAATGACAAAACCAAAAATAATTGAAAGATGGTGTTGTTGCCACATGTATTCATGGAGGACAAAGCCCTTGGTCTTCAATTTGTTGAAAAAGAATGTCCAGCCAAAATGACAGCTTTCTTTTTCGTTTTTCATGTCTGTTACCCGTTGGCGAGAAAGTTGGAAACTTTGGGTTGTCTTTATATTTGGTTGGCATTTCACAAGCCATATGATTTTAGAGGAATATATCTGCTTTTTTAAAATTTAGATTTTGGAGAAATGTGGATCAATAAGAGCCTCATGCATTACTATATAGTATTATTTAGAGTGAGAAGTCCTCCTAACTGTAGCAGGAAAATGATTACTGATTGCTTCAATAGGTATATATAGGTAAGAGTACATAATATAAGGTAGATAATGGATAACGCAACATCCTCCTATTTGCCTTGGTACTGCCAATCAGCTTTAGAGTTTGGGATTTCTTCATTTTCTCTCCAAGTTTCCCGGCACTAAGCTTGAGGTGACAATAAAATCTTGAATTTTATATATAGTACTGCTAACATACAATTACACAGAATAACTGGGCAATATTGTGTGCTTTTATTACCATAGGTCTTTTGCCTTTTCTTGTTCATTAATGAATATTGGAGGTATTTCTTTCCTAATTTCTACACATTTCTAATTTATTGAAAATACGTTTTAAACAGAGTTGTACAAGATTTTCGTGAATGTTTTTAGCCATTGAAAGTGTAAGAAGATAGATACTCCCACAGTCCAATTTTTTCCAAATGTGGTTGTGGATGATGTTAATCTTTTTGTAGCAGGAAAAGGCCAACCCTGAATTCTGTGGAGTGAGAGCTGGCATGTGTCCTGATACAATAATAGATCATATAAATTAGGCTTTACAAAGCAGAGTAATCAATCAGAAAGGAACAGCCAGGTCTTGATTCCCTCTTTATTAAAAGGAAAACATAAGATCCAAATACACAGAGTGGAGCAATGAGATAGAGATAGAAAGGAGAAAGTTTGGGTGTCTATGTCATTATTGATCTGAAATAAACAAATAACCAATCAGATGTGGATGGCTTTCTTTCTTCCCTTGATCTACTTTTGGCATTCACTGTTTGTTGTATTTTGCTATTAATCCACTGACCACTACCATCATATTTTAATATTGGCAAAAACTATTAGCCAGATCATTTAGTATAATCGCTATAAAACTTAACACGAGTGTTCGAGGTTAGATCTCACACTTCCACACCCCAATACCCATAAGAACTCGTGCGGATCATAATTTGGTTTGTCAGAAATGAGCAGATGCATTGTTGCCAGATATGGTTGCAATTCATGGTCTTAGTTGTCTTTTTATTAATTCTCTCTCATTTTTGTTACATGATTGGAAGGTGCTGCCTTAATTTTCTTCTTCTATTGTTCATGGCATTTTCAACTTTTTCAAGACGAATATATAACAATGTTTTTCCCTAGTGCAGCCTAAGGTAAGGTTATTTTCGAAATCCTTTTCATCAGGGATTTGTTTGTCACATAATTAAAAGCCTCAAAGGTGGTCTGTCTTCCCTTCACCATAATCCATAAATCTAAATCAAATCATGGGGTGGAAAAGGAAAAATGGTGTGGTCTCACTTAACTCCGTTGTCATGACTAAAGAGGAGAAAGTGACACTTGGTTTTGGAAGCTTCCAAAAAAGATTTTGCTAACTGGCCATGCCCCATCACACATCTTATCATCTCTCTCTTAAATCTTTTTCTTGTATTCAATGTCACACCGTACGATCCCGTAGCTTAGTTTACCTCTATCTCCTTTTAGTTCTGTTAACTTGCTTCTCGGACCAGACCAAATCAAACCAAAACCAGACTCAATTTAGCCAGAAAAAGGCAATGACTTGGGAGCTTTGATGGTATCAGAATCTTAGACTTTGTAAGTAGATGAAAACTAACAACTATGAGACTGAGAAATCACTTTTCTTTTTCTTCTTGCTTTTGTTGTTTTGAAGAGGGATCACGTGGTAGTAAAGTTTCTTTCTTTGTTTTTGTTTTGACTCCTTAGATAGAATCAATCCCACTTTCTCTCTATCAGAAAACTTGGTACCTGAAAAAAAAGACGAGCCTCACTAGAGATACGGTCTGAAACTCTTGTTAACGAAAATGGCAAAACTTGATTGGGTTTGGGAGATGCTTCGAGTAACCGAAAGCTATGTGTGAGAAGAAATGGAAACAAAAGAAAGGGTCTTCTTTTTTGTCAAATTCAATGATGACATAAAAAATCTCAAGATGAAATCCTTTTCATCACCGTTTTCATTTGATGATTTTCTCTTTTGGATTATTTTCCAACAACAGCCTCAAAACCTAGAATTTTGCTCTGAAAGAAAAAAGAAAAAAATTTAACAGATAGAAACAACACAAACCCCAAAACTCAGAGCAGATAAACTGAGATATCAACGCTACTCTCTTCTTCCCATTGCCAGTTTTATCAAACTTCATAAAAACACAACATAAGCTGCTGCAACACCAAACCCAAGAGAGAGACATGGAGAGAGTTAGTTTTTTTTTTTTGGTTTAGGAGTTTAAGTATGTTGTTGTTTTGCTGAAAAAGAAACCAGCCCATATGTTAAACCGATTGAGGTTTCATTGCTAACTCAGTTACAGACTCTAGACTCTTGCAAGTATTTAACTGTTCTTTCCTCTTAAATTGAATAAGTTGCTGTAGTCGAGCCTATTGCTAGTGTTTGTTGGTGTCTCACAATCATTTAATGCCCCCTCTTGGCCTTCTAGAAACTCCCAAAATAAAGCCTAAAATTAATCATATCCGAGAACCAATTGTGCTATCTTCAAAATAAAATTCTACACTTTTTACACCAATAATCTATGATATATGCTACAACCTTTTCACTACTTTTTTCTTTTCAGTATTTAAAAGCTGAATTGTCAGATTTTTTTCTTGTGAAATTTGCTCTGTTGGGTACTAAGAACCATTTAGTCCCATTATTATCACCACTAGTATTATTTTTCCAACTCTACCCAGTGTTTCCAAATTTTCAGGTTCTTATTCATGTTCAAGTTCTTTTCATTGGTTTATTCAAAAGAAAAAAAAAATCTTCATTGGTTTTATAGAGTTTTCAATTGTCTGCATTTGGGTAGTTTATAATTTTTATCAGGTTCTACCATTAATTTTAGCTAACTTTTGGTGTTACAGGTATTGGCAGAGATAATCATCACCATCATTACCAACAAGAAGCCAAGAGAAAGCACTACTCTAGCTTCTTGCTTCACGGGCTGCGCCGCTTCTTCTCGTCGCTTGTGCGTTTCCAATCCCAGATCTCAAGGCAAACAGCACTCCCTCTATAAGCCATTTGGTTTTGGTTTCTGGTTTGAATTGATTTTTTTTTTCTTGCTGGTCCTTTGACTTGGTACCTTCCCTTCCAACGCCAGATTCTCTCTTTATGTTTACACTTGTCACACTGGGGTTGCTGTAACATTTGATACAGAACCCTTGAAGAGTTTTAGGGGTTTGCCAGGTTTAATATTAATGTGCTTTAAGTGTGAGAATTGACTTCTGAGGTGTTGAGCAACCCATGATCACGGGGGGTCGGTGATAGTTTTTGAATTCTGTTGTTTGCTTTGCATGGAAACCAAGGGACAAATCTTGAAACAATTCAAGTATTGGTCTTTGGTTTTAACTATTTGATTATTGCCAGCATTTCCGGTTCCGGGTTTCGTATATATTTATTAAATATTAGTCTTGTATTGGGATCCATATATGTTGAAGCTTTAGAACATGCTAACAAGGGTTGTTATTGGTGGTCTGCTGGATTAGAAGTTGGTTCCTCGTATTCATCCAGTGTTTTGGAATTGTATATTCTGTTGAATTACTTGGTTCTCAAATCCAAGCCCATTTTTTAACATAATCAAGAGAGCAAAACTCGGTCCTTGAATTGGGGCTTTGAAGGGTATTAAAGCGGTTCTAGGAAAGATCTTGGGTTGCATAGAGGAAGTATTACTAGAGTTAATTTTGATGTGCAATACTGGTTTTAAGTACAAGACATGCTGAGCTCTGATGAGGGAGAAAATGATGTGTTCTATGACTCGTCGGATTGCTTGTTGGTTGAAGAGCCAGTTGTAGCAAAAGAAGAATTGGAGGGTGGGAAATTAGAGTATGAAATTTGGATCAATGAGCCACGAAGTGTGAAGGAAAGACGTGAAAATTTTTTGCATGGAATGGATCTGGTTGAGTTTGCAAAGTCATCAAGGATAAAGGATTTGGAGAGGATCACAGAGTGCAGTGGTGATGTCCCAAGTTCTTTATTTTCATCTGTTGAAAATGGCGAAGGATATATGGCTTGTTGCCATAGGGAAATGCCTTGTCAACCAAATTTGTTGGTCAATGAATCAGAATTAGAACAGAACATAGATCTTAAGATTGAGAACAAGATATTTTCTCCTACTCAAAAGGAAGCTCAAGCATACTTGGATGAATGCGAAAATGCTAAAGTTAATGGGAAGAAATTCACGAAATGGTGGAAACAGTTTTTGAGCATTAGGAAAGGAGGAGAAAGTAGTCGTGAATCTATGGTATCAAAACCAAGTATCAAAGTACATAAAACAAACAGAATGATGGTTCAGCCCAACAAGAAAGGATACATGGAGTTTACAGCACTTTATATGGGACAAGAAATACAGGCTCACAAGGGTTTCATCTGGACAATGAAGTTTAGCTCAGATGGTCAGTATTTGGCAACTGGTGGTGAAGATGGGGTAGTACGTATATGGCGTGTAACATCAACAGATGGCTCTAGTAAGCCTTTCGTGGCTGAGGGCGGTTTGGTTAGAAAGATGGGTAAAGGAAAGTCAGGTCTTGGCAGAAAAAAGTCGATCCACTCACCAGTTGTTATCCCTAATAAGATTTTTAAGATTGAGGAGTCACCTATTCAAGAGTTTCATGGCCATGCCAGTGATGTTTTAGATCTTGCATGGTCCAATACAAATGTGAGTCAATCCTGATGAAACCTAGCAGTGTAGTATATAGTTAAATTCAGTCCTCTTTATGACCTTTGTTTTAGTTTTTTGTTATTCTGAATCAATTTTTGGTTGCAGTTTCTTGTTTCTTCTTCCATGGATAAAACTGTTCGTCTGTGGCAAGTTGGCTGCGATCAATGTCTAAACGTTTTTCATCATAATAACTATGGTAACTATGAAAGGACTCGATCCCATCATCCCCTGTTCTGTGATTTTATTGATATTGTAGTCCCTTATTCTCTGAAATACATAATGCTATAGTCTAAATTCTGACCTTGCTTATTTTTTGGATGGAAACAGTCACGTGCATTCAGTTCAATCCCATTGATGACAATTACTTCATCAGTGGTTCTATAGACGGAAAAGTTAGAATCTGGGGAGTCTCTGAGAAGCGAGTTGTTCATTGGGCAGATGTGCGGGACATTATAACTGCTATATGTTACAGGCCAGATGCGAAGGTGTGGTTCTGAATACTTGAATCAATGTTCTTCTGCTAAAATCATTGTTTTGGATTTCATAACTTTTAGCAATAGTAATCATTTCATTTCCTTTTATTCTAGCAGGAATTTGTCATTGGTTCCATCACAGGCACTTGCCACTTTTATGAAGCATCAGGTAATAATTTCTTCCAAGTTAGAGTTCTACTCTACTGTTTAATTGTAGTTGTTCAGTCATTCCGTTTCTTTTTCTGGCACAGCACCTTCATGTCCTTTCATCTAACTGAGTGTTTTTTTTTTGGGTGCAATAGGCAGCGATGTTAATTTGAAGGCAGAGATACATATCCGTGGCAGAAAGAAAACCTCTGGCAACAAAATCACAAGTATTCAGGTTTTGCACTGAAGCTTTTGGTACTATATGTATGTTGGTTGCACTACTATTTTCATTCATTGCTAATCAGTTTCATTCCAACTTGCAGTTCTCCCAGGATAAACCACCCAAAGTTATGATAACTTCTGAAGATTCCAAACTCCGAATATTCGATGGGGTGGATATTGTTCATAAATTTAAAGGCAAGGATTCTGTGTTATATAAATCCTTGGAATGAGGCAGATAAAATCATGTACTGATAACATAATCTAAAAGCTAAGATTGTGTGTTATATAAATCCTTATGTTGCAATTTTCATAAATTAATATTTTCCTTGAATACTGCAGGACTGCCAAAGTCAGGAAGTCAGATGTCGGCATCTTTTACTTGGACCAGGAGACATATAATTTCAGTTGGAGAAGACAGTCATGTTTATGTCTGGAACTACAATGACTTGTGCCTCCAAAAAACGAAACATGCAAAATCTGTTCGTTCTTGCGAGCACTTCTTCTGCCAAGATGTGTCTGTTGCAATACCTTGGTTGGGCCAGGGTGTAGATCAGAGGCACTCCGATATTAATGATTGCAGGGCTCAGTCACCAATAGGGGGTGCTTCCTGGATCAGAGATTCAGAGCGATTCTCTCTTGGTAACTGGTTCTCCATTGATGGGTCCTGCAAGGGTTCTGCCACATGGCCTGAAGAAAAGCTTCCTTTGTGGGATGCAACAGTTGTGGAAGATGAATGTTATACATATGACAAGCAGCAGCTCTGTCACAATAGTGCCAACTATCACACGACCCTACCAGAAACATGGGGGCTCGTGATTGTTACAGGTGGATGGAATGGGACAATCAGGACATTCCACAACTATGGATTGCCTGTTAGGTTGTAGGAGTTTGCATAGTCTGTTTGTACGAGTTCTTGACGCCATTCAATTTTTTGGTGAACTTACGTTATATCTGGGACTGTCCCTTGTGCAAGCTCAGGCAGCAGCAGACTTCAAAGAAACAAATTATTTAGATGTAAATGTTCCCCAGTCAGCTTGTTGATATTCAGCCCTTTTACCCCTCTTAAATTTCAGTAGAGGTCCTTTTCTTTTGACATGCTTTGTGAGTCATTATTGTTTGACATTATGTCCTTGTCATCAGGCTTATTTTAGAAGTACGAACCCTTCTCATTTAGGCAGCTCATAAAATTTTTCATAGTCTTAAGAGTTTTTCCTTTGTGAATAATAGTTTAACTACGTAGCAATTCAAAGAAAAATAGAATTACTAACGCTTCATGCCGCTTTGTTTTCAAGTTTCCATGACCCTTCTCTAATCTGAATTTCGTCTTGTTTAATTTGATAGTAAAATGTATATGCATACATAATCTAAACACATGCACATATACGTATAATAGACCTCTTGGGGATCAGAATTAATTGTTCATCACTTCAAAGAAAACTTACACCAATTAATCGAAGCCAGGTCCTATGACGACTCCTAATTTTGGAGGAAAACTGGACTGGATATTCCTCCAACAATAACTCATTTTTTGTCTTTTTTGTCGATCCTGACAGACAAGAGAACTGGATAGATGTTGGCAAAGGCTTTCTGAATTTCAGCTTCCGTCTTTGCTCCAGTAATAACAAGCTTTCCGGACGGGAAAATCAGCATAGTAATTTTGGGTTGTCTCATCCGATAAATCAACCCTGGAAACAGCTCTGGCTCATATGTAGAAAACTCATAATGAGAATGCCCAAGGCGTGCAAGACTTATAGGAGCCGTAATATTACAGGAAGCAACCATATTCTGAATCTTAAAATCCTTGAACTTAACCTCAAAACCAAGCTTTTGGACTATTTTAGCATACTTCCGGGCAGCCAGATGGGAACTTTCCTTGGTTTTGGCACCAGTGCATACAATCTTTCCAGAGGCAAATATGAGTGCAGTGGTTTTTGGTTGCTTGATCCTCATTATCACAGCAGCAAACCTTTTGGGGTTGTATTCAGCGTTGCGAGCATGAACGGCAATGGCCTTAAGATCCAGGATGCATCACAGTGGAAACTATGTTCTGAAGGACAGGGATAGGTTGCTCCGAAGGATCGGAAACTTGGTTACTTTCTAGTAACCCATCATTAGCCATCTTGAAACCCATAAGTACTTTCTCTCTGAGAGTTTGAATTCTTCTTGAATACTCGATTCCAGAGATTTTCCTTCTTCCAGGAATTTGCAAAGAAAACAGATAGAAAAGTACTATCTGTTCTGTAAGAACATAGAAAGATTAACATAAACAACATAGGGAGGAGACTTCATAGAATTGAAAGCCCTGTATCTACCTGAGTCAAGCCACTGATTCTTCTTGAATTAATCTTGAATTTAAGCTTTCTGGCTTTTCTTGCTTTCCGAGTTTTCTTTCAAGAAGGAAAGTTCGGAAGTGTTTATTGGATAAGAAGGAAAAAGGCGTTTATATAAAGGAGAGGAGCCAAAGGAAATCAAAGTCCTAGCGGACGATGGTCTCCATAATTTTATTCTGAAAGTAAAATTCACCTTCGTTTATAAAAAAATAAAATATTAAAATTTTACATAAAAATTAAAAAATTATGTAATCTAACTTTTCTTGATTTTCTTTTCGTTTAATTCATTTTTCTTAGATCAAAAAATAAATCTATTATTCATATAATTTTATAAAACCAATTCAACCATAATAACAAATTAGTCATTTAAATAATTATATATATATATATAAATTTAGGAAAAGGAATATAAAGAAGAAATTAATGCAAAATTGAGGAAAAATAAGAAAAAAATTATTTATGCCATCAAATATTAAATTTAAATTATAACAATAACTATTTTAAATTTAAATACTCTTGAATATCAACTTTTACTATCATTCTCTCTGTCTTTACATATGAAATAGATAGGATATATATATATATATATTGTGTTTGTTATATTTAGATTCATTTAATAGATATTTTAATATCATTATATAGAAATTTAAATACTTAAATAAAAAAAAAATTAAGAGTGAAAAATTTATATATTTTCATTGACTTGAAAACATATAACTCTATAATATATTTATAAATTGTAAGTTATAACTTGGTCATGCTATTGAATATTTAAGTGAAGAGTGTTAGTTAATGTATTGATTTCAAGTCTTAAAAATATTAAGATTAATTTGAATTTTATTAACATTAATTGAAATATAATGCAATAGACGAATTGTTTTATTAATGAATCAATAATATAGTTATGCTAATTATTTTGTTTTTAAAAATATTGGTACAATTAATATTAATTCATTATGTTGATTAACTTAGTATCAATCATATAACAAGTCAAATAAATTGATTTACAATAATTTGTGAAAATGATTACGTGAATTTGCCCCCGTTTGTCACCACCATTACTTCTCCATTGCTTGTGTAGGCTCCCATGAGATGTTTTATGAAAGACACTGTCACTTTCTGACACAAAGGTCAGTTTCATTTTAGGAAGGTTGAATAAAAATTTAAAATCCAAAATATGGGATTGAAAAGGAAAGAAATAAAGAAAAAAAGAGATTGTTTAGAAAATGAGTGAGTCTTGATTCTGATATTTAAGGATTGAGTTTGATCATGTTTTCAATTATATAATAAACGTGTTATATTTATATTTATATATTATATGATTTTTATCATATAAAAGATACATACATATATAATATTGCATTGAAATCATCATAAATCATGTCAAATTAGTCATATTTTAAATTTTATATAAAATTAGATAAAAATAAAAAAAATATTGATACATTATTGATAAATTTAGAATGTTACAAGAGAAATTAATATGATAACACATGTTTCATTTTTTTAATTTTTTTTATTCTTTAAATTCATCATAAAAAATATGATTATTAATCTTATTTATGAAATTAAAAAATTATATTACCAATGTTTTTAATAATTTCTCAGTAAGATAATATATTTTTATTCTTTTAAAAAATCTGAACGGATTTGAACTATGGATTTTACAAATCAATATGGGTCATGGCAGAATTTGAGGCTCAAAATTATAGGATTGGACCAAACTTATCAATACAATACCCACACCAGCCTGGCCCGCCTTGTGCAGAGTTATTCTATTGTATCTCAAGAAGAAAGAAAAGAATATTTAAAGAAAAATAGAAACGAAAAGGAGAGAATAGAAAGAAAAGCAGAGCATAGCCCAAAGCTTATCTTTTTGGCGGCACCAATTTGAACGAACAAATTACAGTTTCTTTTGTAGTAATCAAATTCCCAGTTTTTCCCATGGCAGTCTCCACTTCTTTTTTACCCATCATTTCCTTTAGTCCAATCTCTTCGTCTTCATCATCAACATCATCATCATCATTTTTGGGTCCCACTCTTGTACAGACCCATCATCAAGGTAGCTTAATTATGAGTAAGCAGAGCTCATTTAGACGGTTGCTTATCAACTGTTCGGCTTCTTCTGACATGGGTTCCTCCCCAGACCCCATGAACTTGAGGTATGTTTCATCGGCCGGCTTGCTTTATTTCATATTTTGTTGTGTCTTTTTGATGTTTGTGAAAGTGTCTGTGAAGTGGTAGGAGTTTGTCTTGTCTTTGAATTTTGATGCTCAGTGTGGTTCTTGTAGTCGTATGGTTAGAATTTGATGAAATGTTCTATCTTATGTTGGTCATTCTAGTGTTGTCTTGATAAGAAGTAGGCATGAGTTATGAGGAAAATCCTTGCACTTCTATATTGGATATCTGTGGACAGTGGAAACTGACTATTTTCATGTATAGTGGAAATTGATTTGCTCTTTAGACAACATTTATCATTTTTGTTCAAATCCTTTTTTAGTGGTAAAGTTTCTATAAAAAGTTGAGCTTATTATGATTAATGTAAAAGTGATATGGAATTATTGTTGCTAGGGAAACTAGCATTTATGGTGGACTTAGTTGTGCACAAGATGAGTCTATTGTCATTTTTATTCCAAATCCTAATAATCGAATTATGCTCTCGGGTATAATAAAATAGTAATTGGAGTCATGTTGTATTAGTTGGATGTCCAAAACAATCCTTGTTGTATGTTAAACTCATTCAATGTACTACACTGTCATACATATCTTTGTGCTCATCTTAGCAGTGCAAGCGTACGTGAGAGATGTGGAATTTAACTTGGTGAATAGTTCTCACTGTTGAGCTTTGTGGATGGGTGCTTTCACGTGCATAAGAAATCATTTTAGGAACCTCCTTCATATTTAATACTTGAGACACTGATTTCCTCCTTAGGTGATTCTTTGGTTAGTGAATCAGAATTATTGATTTCTCCTTATCTTTTTCTTTGTTTTTTTTTTTTTCAGTATATTGAGGATACTATGATAATCTTTCATGCTTAAGAGTTCAATTTCTCATTGCTATTTTCAAGGTTACTGAATTGAAATTCTTGATTCATACATTTGGGCTGTGGCTGTAGTTTTATAGTAGATTTTGGAATTCTTTCTATATTTTAACCTCCTGCTCATGGTTTGTTGAAAAGTTACTTGAATGTCTCTGCAACCTTCCCCACCGCTTTCTTTTTTTTTTCGACATTCTTAAAAGCACTTGGTTATTACATTGTTAACCACCTTGTTTTAACAGGCCTAATCACATGTCATCTATGGGTCCCTTTGGAATGCAAATGAATGACAAACCATCTTATAAATGGCAAAGGGTTTTGCTTAAAGTAAGCGGAGAAGCACTTGCGGGAGATCACTCTCAAAACATTGACCCAAAGGTTGTAATGTGAATAATTGTTTTAGTTTGTGTATTATATTTGTTTTCTTGATAACAAATGAAGTATGAAGTTTCTGCTTGAATACAGATTACAATGGCAATTGCAAGTGAGGTTGCATCAGTGACTCGCCTAGGCATTGAGGCTAGTCCGAAGCCCCTTCTTCCATATATATGCTTCATGACTTTTTCTTTCTCCTCTAATCCTCTTTAAATCTGGTTATTGTCACTTAAGTTTTTCCTTTTCTCAGTTTTAACAGTTGTGTTGTTGCAATATCATGTATAATTGTTGATTACTTGTCAATTTTGCATTAAAATCCTGAGATCATACATTTTGGTGGAGACAATGCATTGCTACTTGGAGATTGCTAACAAAGATATCTGCTTTATTTGGGTGGGACTCAAAAAGAAATTTGAGTAGGATAAACAATTCAAACTACGAATAAAAATGGCATTAATCTTACTCGTTAATGAAGTTGAGCAGTCTAGAAATTACGTGGAGTTGTAACTTACATGATAAATGCTTTCATATGAAATTATTAAAATAAATTTGGGAGGATGTTGCTTAGCAAGAAAGAGTAGCTGGTTGTCAGAAGAGCTTGCTACCTGAAAGAGATTAGAAACAACCCTTTTTTATTTGTTTTATATGTCTAAATCTTTTTAGGTATTTGTTGCAGGTTGCAATTGTGGTTGGTGGGGGTAATATTTTTCGTGGATCCTCTTGGGCAGGATCTAGTGGTCTTGACCGTTCATCTGCTGACTACATTGGGTAAATATTTTATTTTATTTTATGTTTTTCTGTTGTGTTTCAGAAGTCTTTCTGGTTTTTACAGAGATTGTATTTCTTTGAAAGACCATTTACAGTTATTGCAGAAAGTACTTAGACCTGAGCTACTTTATGGAACTCTTCTCTCTCTCTCTCTCTCTCTCTCTTTTATGTGTATTATAGCTGCATTTGTTTTGCCAGAATGTTAGCAACTGTAATGAATGCTATATTTCTTCAAGCAACAATGGAGAGTATTGGCATCCCAACTCGTGTCCAGACTGCATTTCGTATGTCAGAGGTTGCAGAGCCATATATACGTAGAAGGGCTGTAAGGCATTTGGAGAAAGGAAGGGTTGTCATTTTTGCTGCTGGAACTGGTAATCCATTCTTCACCACAGACACTGCTGCAGCCCTTCGTTGTGCAGAAAGTAAGTAATTTTTCTTCAGTCAGAATGCATACTGGCATAGTATGGAATATATTGTTGGGAGCAAATATATCTGTGCCATCCACACTTTTTAAGAATACTATTTATATACAAGTCACTTGGCACATTTATGAGATTTTGAAAATACTCTGAATCTTGCAAAAAATTGCCCTAATGTAACTATCAAAAAAATTGGGCTCATGTAACTTTTGTTGAAATAAATCTTAACTTAAAATGGGAATTTTTTTAACTTTAGTTTTGGCAATAAATGTTCTCTTAATGCCAAGATAATGCTATTGTTTGGAATAAAATTAGATGTTCTATTTGTTGGCCCAGTCAATGCAGAGGTTGTGTTGAAAGCCACAAATGTTGATGGAGTTTATGATGATGATCCTAGGCATAATCCAAATGCCCGTCTTCATGATACGCTAACTTATCATGAGGTGACTTCGAAAGATCTCTCAGTTATGGACATGACTGCCATTACTCTGTGCCAAGAAAATAACATTCCTGGTATGTTTAAACATCTGCAATCTGTATTATTACTAGCGTGACTTATAAGTGGGCTATATTTGGAATTTGTAAGTTGGCCAAATGCAAAAAACTAAAGGGAATAAGAGTTAATTTGTTTAAGTGTCTTTCTTTCAATGCAGTTGTTGTCTTCAATTTAAACAAACCTGGTAACATCACAAAAGCAATAAAGGGAGAGCAAGTTGGTACATTGATTGGAGGAACATGGAACTCAATGGTGGCAAGGACATAAAGAAGATACTTGGGGCAGTTGCCTATCTGTGTAGTGACTTCTCCTACTTTTGCTTTTCTTTTTGAGAAAAAGAAGGTATTTGATGGTAATTAATTGCTTAAGCATAATGTAAGCTTTTGCAAAGGAAGTTTCCTGGAGCTCGCATTTGAAAAACCAAAGATGAAAACATGAAGCATAAAATTCAATTCACTCTTTTGACTGATTATCATTGCAGATTTTTGTGCATAAATATGTGGAATGTTGTCTTCTTTGAACATTGTAGCAATCACAATAAAAAAAGTGATTCTTCAATGACTTTTGATGCATGTTTTTAAGATTAACGTTAATGTTAGTGGTAAGCAGTTGTGAGGGACAGAAGGGATAAAATACTATATTTTTTATTGTTATTTCTTTGCTTATATCATCAATACAATTATATGTGCAAGAGATCTGAGATTTCAAGATGACCAACTAGAGCTTATTGGTGCCCAAGTAGCTAATGAAACTACAGGTGATTTCGCTATGTTGGCTGCTTTGACTAAACATTTTAACTATGAAAAGCTGGCTGTAATTTACTCTGATTTTGTTCTCAATTTGAATGTTCTGCAGGTTTTGAACTCCCTGGTTCCACTTATTGGTGATAGAAAGGTATAATTTATACAAATCTTTACTATTACTTAACAGAGCCATTACTCAATAGCAGACATTTGTGGTCCCTTCCCCTCTTAATTAGAAACGGAATCTTTTGATAAGGTCTTGTATCCCATTACCACCATTTCTTCGGTGGCTATACCCCGCTTCTTCACAAATGCCATTCCCATTTATATTTATGTCAGAGAAAGTGTTAGGCGCGTTATTCTTTTGTGGAAAATGGAAGAATCCTCCGACATGAGAATTGAGAACTGGACCACCAGATTGTAATTCGATAATTTGGTGACTAAGACAGAGCTCTATGCTGCGGATTCCAATTGGTAAATAGCTGAATGAAACCCAACATTTCTGACCAGAATTTCTAGGGATGCCTTATTTGGAAAACTATTTTGGTCAAACACGATCTTGTTTTTAACTATTCTTTGTCGAGCGCAGACACAGCATGAAATATATGCTTTTCTGGTCAATAACATGAGCCCTCCCCAGCTTCCTGTGAGCAATTTTTTTGTTTGTCTTCTTTTTGGTACATATAATTTTTAATTACAGAAATGGAAGTAGTCTTTTTCATCTCCAAAGACACTTTCATGGTGGTCCATCCCAAAATTTGAACTCGAAATTTCGTTTCAATTTCTACCAGCAGGATATTTATTGCCATGACATTGGAATTTATCAACAATATATTTTGCTAACCCTGATTATTCCTCCTAAGCCTGCCTATGCTTGGAATTTGGAGATTAATTTTTTTTCTTTTTTTTTTTTTTTCAGGTATCGTCAACTGCTTTATGCTTTTCTTCATAAATATATGATATGCTACGCCACTAATTTAGTAAAGGGGTACACAGAAATCCCATCCATGACTATTAAAGAGCTTGCATTTCAATAACAATCTTAATCCAATCTTTTTCAACTGTGAAACACAGAAACACAGAGCTACACATCAAATGGCAGGAATCCAACAAGCCATGATAAGTCTCTCAATCATTCATTTTGTACAGTAACAAGATTCACGTTCTAATCGCAAAAGCTACCAACTAAAACACAAGTTGGTTTTCCCCAAAAACAGGTTTTGGAGGCTGGGAAACCCAAAATAAGTGATGGGATAGACATGGGTTACTACTTTTCAACTTCTCTTCAATCACTCGATCCTTTTAGCACAGTTGTTGCATTAAAAATAAATAAATCCCCCAATGAAATAGGAAGATGACGGCCCATATTCTGACCTTTATGTCCTACCACACGTTATAAACATAAAATTCTCAATGATTTCATCTACTCCTTATCTCAGTTCAATAAAGGCATTAATTACTACAGTTCCTCTAATTTAACAAAAGCACTAATAAAAAAAACTTAAAGCTTTATTTATAGAATAACAATCAATGAAGTACCAAAAAATCACTATCTCCATTATTAAAGAAATTAGCAAATTTTACAATTAAAATCCAAAAACCCACTATAATAAAATTACAAACTCTAATTTTTTTTAACCAAAATCTCTCACAATATCCTAATTTTTCTAACTCTTCCTCTCTTTATATATGTAAAAAAAAAAAAAAAAAAGTTAGTATATTGAGACATTAGAAATAACACTACAATTGAAGAAGCCCTTAAATCTGATAATAAAATCTCCAAATTTGTAAAGCCAAAAGTTGATTTAGATATTAAAAAAAAAAATGGCTAAAGGTTCCAAATTTGAGCATAAAAATCAGAACTTGGAGAAGAAATTAAAGGCCCAGAAAGCAATGTAGAAGGGCTTGCCATGAACCCACTTCCATGTAACATCGGGCTCCACTCATGCCAAGGCGACATCATTCTAGCCTCCGAAGCTGGCGAAAAGAAAGTACCCGTGGGCACCGCCGGCAACGTCTCCGGCGCAGGCGAAAGTATCCCTGGCGGCATCCGAATCAAACCCTCTTCCGTCCCACCTTCCACCATAACCCCCGCGTCCCCTATTTTCTCTCTCGGGCTCAGACCCGCCTTTTCCATCACTGCCAACCTCGCCGCAGGCGATACGTCGCCGTCGCCTGAGAAGTTGCCCGACGAAAGTCCCGTGTAGCGTTGGACAATTGACATGAAGTCGGATTCTTCGGCGTGGATGACTTTGGGTGAGACGGCGTAGATGATTACCGGCTCGCGACGGCGTTGGTCTCCTGATGCTGCTGCTGGGACCGCAGCGGCGACGGCGTGGGGTGGTGGGTGAGGCGGTTTTCTGATTTTATGGGAGTCTTTGCTGACTTTTAGTGGGGTAGGTCGTGGACCTTGGATTTGTAGCTGACGCTTTGGGGTTGTCCCGCCGGCTGGAAATTCAGAGTCCATGATTGACGATGCTGATGATGAGTGGTGAAGAAAGGTTTTTTTTTTGGGATGTAGAAGGGAAAGAGAGGACCGGTTTTTCTTTTTTTTTCTTTTGGCAGATGGAATGAATCACTTTGAACACTTTCAGGCAAATTATTTGACCTTAGAAAACACGGGGAAAAGAGAAGTCAATGCGATTATTATTATTTTTTATAAAATATTTCTCCAATAGCAATTTACAAAAAAGAAATGTAATATTAATAATTCATATTTCATATAGTTTTTTTATCACAAAAAATATGAATATTTTCATATGAAAATAATACATATTTTTGGCCTCAAGCTTTTTCTTTTTTTTTTTTTCATTTTTCAACACATATATTCCTCTTATGCTCTTTTTTTTCCTCTTACTTCTATATATTTCAAAATTATTTTTCTTGATTTTTTTTAATTTTTATGTGAAAAAGTATGAAACATTAATTGTATAATTCTTATTTTTTATTTAATATCAGTTAAACTAAAATTAAGTATTTTTTTCCTTAACAATGTCAAAGTCAAACAGAGAAATAAAATGAAATAGAGAATATTACATGTTAGCATTTTATAGAATTAATTTTATATTATATTTATAATTGTATTATTATAAGTAATGATTTGGAAGTCTAATTTAACTTGACCATTTTTTTTAATTTTTGTTAAATAAATAAAGGTACAGCTTTTAGTATTATAATTAGGTGTATTAAACGCAAATTATCCAAAGCTTAAAGGTAACCAAAAAAAAAAAAAAAAGTTAACACCATCAGATCACACGTGATGTGCAAGGTAGGGGAAATATTTAAATAAAATTTTTTAAGTGAAATTTATAAAATAAATTTTATTAAAAATGATTAAATAAAAATTAAAATCAATAGATTAAAATGTTTCATTATATAAATCAAATATATAAAATTTAAAAAAAAATAATAAATTTTGATATATATATTTTTAGATAAATATTTTTAATATAAATATTAATAATTTTTTATCATTAAATCAATAATGACTAATTTTGAATTATAAATAATATTTTTAATATTTTTTACATATTATTTATCTTTATATTAAATTCTATTAATGTATCGATTTGAATTTTTTTTATTAAATTATTTTAAAAAATAAACTTCACAAATTCATCTAAAAAACTTTATATAACTTTTTTCATGCAAGGGAGGCATATCATATGTACAAGACTTTAATCAGTTTGCATATTTTTCCTTTATTAAATTTATTTATAAAGAGAGGGGCATTTAGCTTTATTCTGTAGGTAAAATATATGGTTGGAGAATTTCGAAATTGACAGATAATTTTTATTATTATTTATTTAATAAAAAATTTTAAATTATATCTTAATATAAAAAAGTAAAAAAAATAAAAAAGAATAGTATATGTAGTAAAGGGAAAATTTTCCAAGTCTTGAAGAACATTTGCATTACTAATTACATCAATAAAAAAATCCAGAAGGAATTGTAACTTGATTCAAGTAATTGCCTTAAAAGAATCTTTAATTTAAAGTGAGACTCCAGACAAGGCATAATAAAAGATGGAAAGACAAAAGGAAAAAGAGAAAGAAAAGAATAGTACTAAACAATTAAGCATCAATCTTCTTTTTCTTTTTGTATCTTTCTTCTTCAAACTTGTACTTCAAACTCACTTCAACAGCCTATCACTTATTCTTTTGGTTATACTTGTAGTAGTAGAGAAGCATGCAGGAGGGCACAAAAGCAATTTCACCAAGAATAATTTAAGCAATTTGGGGACACTTAAAGAAGAAACTACTGCTTTGGGGGCAGCCAATTCTTCATAGTTTTTGTATCATCCCAGACCTTGATCTTTTCCATATAAATAAGTGCCTGGGTTGTCCAATATCTGAGTGCAACCAATTCATATTTGCAGTGCAAAGGCCTGGAACCTCCTGCCTGTAAGTGATAATTAATGAAGTCATATGTTGCATGCATTTTTTTGTGTAAGATCATGTGAAATTATTGTGTTTGCTTTGGTTTTATCATTATATTTTCCTAACATAATATCAAAATATTTTGAAGGGTGTCAAGTATTGTAATGATGAACAATTTATTTTCATCATTTGACAAAGCATGGATGTCCATGCATTCGTAGAAGGGAAAAACTGGTCAACCAAAGCAAATAGTTAAGGTCAATTTTTGTTTCTCTTGCAGTTTACTCTTTTTTTTTCCCCATTGTCAAATAGCTGTTTTTCATAAGAAAATGAGGCCTCTGGAAGCTACCCACGGTGCCCTGGCTCCCCCTCCTTATAAGAAATCAACAAGCAATGTTTCAGATGAGGATAAAGGTAATTCAATTTCAAAGTTTTATCAAATTTTCTTTACAATAGATATTGAAACAGGAACTCCTTCAAAATAACTTGGAATTGTATCTTATTGAATAAGCTCCCTTGTGTTTTATTGAAACTACTATGGTGAAACATGACAGATTCAAAGGATGCATCCGTTCGATATCTGCCCTTGTACAAAGCTGTGGATAGCGGGGATTTGGAAGCTACCAAGAAATTCCTTGACCAACATCCGGATGCACTGTACGCTAGCCTTTCCACAGATGGAGACACAGCCCTTCACATTGCGGTCCTAGCTGGCTATGTAGAGGTTGTTGAGGAGTTGGTAGGGCGCATGTCTGCACCAGAAATAGTAGTTAAACAGAAATATGGTTCAACAGCCCTTGATTTCGCTGCCATTGGAGGAGCACCGGAGATTGCTGAATTATTGGTGAATAAGAATAGAGACTTGCTTAAAATTCCGAATGATCATGATCAGATCCCCGTTGTTGTGGCTGCTCTCTATGGACATAGAGATTTGGTGCAGTATCTTTACTTGGAGACTCCGATAGAAGAGCTTGATCCTAGTAAAAATCATGGAGCTATTCTGCTTACTGCGTGTATCATTGACGAATTTTATGGTCTGCCATCTATTTCGATTCTTGAACAAATATATGCTTAATTTTGCTTACTGGTTCAGTGTTTCTTATTTGACCTTTACCGAGTCCTCTCTTTAGATATTGCTTTGGATCTACTCAAGCGCTACCCGCTGTTGGCAATTGCTGAAGACACAGATAAAGACACAGCCCTGCATATTTTGGCTCAAAAACCATCTGCATTCCCAAGTGGAACTCAACTTGCATTTTGGCAACGGTGGATATATAAATGTTGGTAACTTGTCAGTTGAAACAAGAATAGAAATTTTAGCTATTCATATATATATATATATAATATAGCCATTAAATTGAGAGTTATCTGAGGCTGCTTTACCCATTCTTGACTTCAGGCATTCATTTACGTCAACAAAAGGCCTCTCTCAACGCATCTGGAGATATTGAAAGGCCTCATGAAGGTCCAACTCATCGAAGGAGCTTGACTAACCAAGGTAAATATGTAACAAGACAGATTTTTCAGTAGAAATTTTACCTTTTCTTTTGTTTGGATTGGTTATGACATTATTGTTTTAGATCCGTTTGTGCAAAAATAACTACTAATTTTCTAAATACTGTATCAATCAATTTTTACTTTAGTTGAAAATCTAGTTTCACTTATGCAGCACTTCACCAACTATCAGAAATATTCTGGAAAGGCTTGAAACTTTGTGGTAAGAAACAAACAACTCTACCAATACCTTTCGTATTTAATTTAGTCTAATTGCTCTACTTCTTGCCATCAGTCCCAGGAGTTACAAGCATATATGAGTTAAAGCTGACACATCTTCAAGCCAAAGAGCTTCTAACTTGCATTTGCCGAGAGGTATCAAATTTAGAAGACGAGCACAAATTGGAAGCTCTGATAAAAAAAGCACTATTTGAAGCTGTTAAGCATGGGATGGTCGAGTTTGTCACAGAGATCATGAAACATTATCCTGAAGTGATATGGTTCTATGATGAAAAAGACAGGAACATATTTTTTGTTGCAACCGCTGAACGCCAAGAAAAGATTTTCAGCCTTATATATAAAATTGGTGCTAAGAAGGAATCCCTGGCAACTCATTGGGATAAGGATTTTAACAACATGTTACACCAGGCTGCGTTCTTATCCCCTTCCTCTCAGCTTGATCGTGTTTCAGGTGCAGCTCTACAGATGCAAAGGGAGCTTCAATGGTTTAAGGTGATTAACTACATAAACATATATAAGCTTCTAATTTGTAGGTTTAAAATGTGAAAGAAAAAAGTTTTTCTTTTTAACATAAATTATTTCTTATTTTTAATTGCAGGAGGTGGAGAGTATTGTGCAACCCAAGTATAAGGAGATGATGAACAAACATTATAAAACACCCCGACTTTTGTTCACGGATCAACATAAGATATTAGTAGAACAAGGGGAGCAATGGACCAAGGAAACTGCTGAATCTTGCACAGTTGTTACTGCTCTAATCGTCACCATTATGTTTTCAGCAGTATTTACAGTGCCTGGTGGATATTATAATGACACTGGCGTCCCACTCTACTTGCATCGAAATTCCTTCATGATTTTCATAATATCTGATGCATTATCACTTTTCACTTCCACAACTTCATTGCTGATGTTCTTAGGAATCCTGACATCTCGGTACAGGGAAGAAGATTTCCTCCAGACTGTGCCTACAAAATTGATCCTTGGGCTTTCTATGCTTTTCTTCTCCATAGCAACTATGATGATAACCTTTGGAGTGGCCTTGTTCATAGTTCTCTATGAAAGAATAGCATGGGTTTTATTTCCAATTATTTTGCTTGCTAGCCTGCCGGTTACCCTTTTCGCCCTGCTGCAATTCCCTCTCCTTGTTGAGATTTTCATTTCTACTTATGGACCTGGAATCTTTGACAAACCAAAGAAGCCCTGGTGTAGATCAGGTTCTAGCCGCTCTTCAACACGTTGCATTCGTTAGCTCAGAGCCGCTTACTGCCTCAGTATGACTACCAAGCAACAGGATTTGGGGGCATTAATTAATATTTATCATATGTTTGTTTTTTTTAAATGAAAAAAAAACTCCTTTTCTTCATATTCTCTTAAAACATGCTTGCATTCGTTTTGTAAACGGTTATATTTTGCTTGAGATATACATATGTTCTGGATTAGATGCTTAGTGAAATAATTCTGACTTTGTTTTGTATGTCCTTATATATATACGATTCAATCGTTGAACAACGAAAATTTTTCTTATCACACAATCATAATTTAATTAGTAAATTAATTATTATTCAAAGCAATTATAGCAACGGAAGAGTCCTAATACATAAGATAATTTTCTAATAGAAACATCACAAGGAAGGATTGAACAGAAACAAAAAAAAACTGAAACACATTTATTATGAAACTTATTTATTTTGGATAATTGAAATTTTATAGCTATAAAGCATTCTTTTAATATTAAAAAGTTCATCAATGATAATGACAAAGGAAGTGCAAAAAGATCCCCAACTTTGGCCCAAAACTGAAAGACTTTCAATAGCGTCGAAGCCCAATAGCCCTCTCAATGAGTTTAAACCCCTGAAAGAACCTGGAAAGAACCAGAACACTCAGCTTCTCTCTCCCTCCTAAAGCGAGAAGCAAAACCCTAGCAGCAATGGCAGCCATGCTGGTACCTTGACATTTCTTTTCACTTATATCATACTGCTTTTTATTAACATGTTGAATTTCTTTTCAACTGCTTTGTAAATCTGCTTCTCTCTTTGGATGCAGCAACCCCAGATCATTCTTTTGAAAGAAGGGACAGACACGTCCCAGGGGAAGGCGCAGCTCGTCAGCAATATAAACGCTTGCACGGCCGTTGCTGACGTGGTTAGAACAACACTTGGTCCAAGGGGCATGGACAAGCTCATCCACGATGACAAAGGGAACGTCACCATTTCCAACGACGGCGCCACCATCATGAAGCTTCTCGATATTGTCCACCCTGCTGCCAAGATCCTCGTTGATATCGCCAAGTCTCAGGACTCCGAGGTCACTCTCTTCACTCTCTTTCTTTTACTTAATCATTTCTAAATTTTTAGTTAAAGTAGAGTTTAATAGTTTCATGAACATTGGATTTTCATCTCTAAACTGATATTTTAGTTTTGAGTTGGTTTTGTCTGTTGGGATGTTATCAAGATCCAATCTTTTTTCCTGCTATTTAGATGATTTAAAGAGCTTTTTTTTTTTTTTTTTGCAGGTTGGTGATGGAACTACAACTGTTGTACTCCTAGCAGGAGAGTTTTTAAAAGAGGCCAAGCCTTTTGTTGAGGATGGAGTCCACCCTCAGAATCTTATTCGGAGTTTTCGAACTGCTTGCTATTTGGTGAGTTTGTCTTTTCCCCTTGTCATGGTTTAGATGTTGCACTAGTCTTTATGCGTCTATTTATGTTGAATGTCGTACTCAATGGACAGGCAATTGAGAAGATCAAAGAACTAGCTGTTAGTATAGAGGGGAAAAGTCTAGAAGAGAAGAAAGGCTTATTAGCTAAATGTGCTGCTACAACACTCTCTTCAAAGCTTATTGGTGGAGAAAAGGAGTTCTTTGCATCAATGGTTGTGGATGCTGTTATTGCTATTGGTAATGATGATAGGTTGAATATGATTGGAATTAAGAAGGTAGACTCATTTTTTTATGCCTTATTTTCAACCTTTTTAGCCCTTTTCCTTTTTCTGATATTTATACTTGGATCTTTCAAAAAGTTCCTATACTTTTTGTTATCTGGGAAATTATATGCTTTGGAGCCGTTGTGTGTCATATTGCACTATCTTACTGTTCCAGCTGAGCGTAGCACCTGGCTGTTCTTTATGCTTAAACTCTCATCCATTGGTGTTTTGGTATCATGTAAGTGCAAATGTTGCAATGTACGTTTAGGAAATGAGGTGGACAAGTTGCCTCTTTTTAAATTTTTAGAAGGTCTGAAATCAGGGAAAGTTAACTTTATAGACGTCCTTTTTGAGTTCATAATACAACCAGTTTCTGAAAGCTCTAAAAATCCGATTGTGGCTAGATATGAAGTGACATAAGCTTGGATTGATATATATATATATATATATATATATATATATAAAGAGAGAGAGAGAGAGAGAGTTTTCTGAAGTTAAAAAGTTAAAATTTGAAATAACTTGTAGTACTACAGGCTCAAAGGCAGCTTTCACATTAAATGAGATTCCTTTGATTCATGAACGCTAAGAAAATTCCCATCATATTTTCTGTCTTGTTTCTTGACATAACAAATTGATTAATGTTTTTGGTTTTTTTTTTTTTTTTTTTTACAGGTTCCAGGTGGTAATATGCGGGATTCCTTTTTGGTTAACGGTGTTGCCTTTAAAAAGACATTTTCATATGCTGGTTTTGAACAGCAGCCAAAGAAGTTTCTGAATCCTATGATACTTTTGTTGAATGTCGAGTTGGAACTAAAATCTGAGAAAGAAAATGCTGAGATAAGGTAGGAGTTTTTGCTGCCTTTGATTTGAATTATTTTTTAATGTGGATATTGACTTTACCTTCTGTTTTATATGCTACAGACTTTCGGATCCATCACAATATCAATCAATTGTTGATGCAGAATGGAATATAATTTATGACAAGTTGGATAAATGTGTGAAGAGTGGTGCAAAAGTTGTTCTTTCACGGTTGGCTATTGGTGATTTGGCGACACAGGTGTGAGATTTTGCCTTGATTGTAGATGCTACATTTGTATTTCTCTGTACCTGTCTCTTTAACCATTGATAACTAACACAATCCATATAAAATATGTTTCTTTTGTGGTTATGTTGTGACTAAATTGGTTAATACATGGTTATGGTCAAATATAAGTTTTTTCTGGTGACCATGAAAGACCTATGCCCTTTTTTATCTCTGGTTGCTTTGTTACCTGCTTGTACGAGTGCTTATGGTTGGCATTGTCAAAGATAATGTAACCATGACCATGTTAATATTTGATACTTTATAATTCAGCTATAACTAGTTCTTTCCAGCTCCTATGTTTTCTCAATTGATAGTTTTGCATAGAATTTTGAAGAGTGATGTTTGTCTGTAATTGTGGCTAGTTTTTTCTTCTCTCTCTCTCTCAAGTTTTATTACATGAATGTCTGTTTGTTGACAGTATTTTGCAGATAGAGATATTTTCTGTGCTGGTCGTGTAACCGAGGAAGATCTTCAACGGGTTGCTGCTGCAACTGGTGGAACCATACAAACATCTGTTAACAACATAATTGATGAGGTTGCAACTTGCATTCATTTTTTATTTTCAAGTTTACACCGTCAAAAACTGTTCAATGTCCTTTCGAACTTCATGAATTTAAATTTCTTCTTTATTGTTTTGAAGGTTCTAGGGACATGTGAGGTTTTTGAGGAAAGGCAGGTTGGAAATGAGAGGTTTAATATATTCAGTGGTTGCCCATCAGGACGGACAGCCACTATAGTTCTTCGTGGTGGAGCTGATCAGGTCTTTCATATTTTAACTAGTGACTTCTTAATGTGCATCACTTTTCATGCTGATGCTGGAGATTGTGCATTTTTTTTTCAGTTCATTGAAGAAGCTGAGAGGAGCTTACATGATGCTATTATGATTGTTAGAAGAGCTTTGAAGAAGTCTACTGTAGTTGCTGGAGGTGGTGCGATTGATGTATGTATTTATAATAACTAGTGAAACTTTAAAGCATATTTGAAGATAATTTTTTATCTTGATATTTGAAACTTTACTTTGGTGGCAGATGGAGATAAGTCGATACTTGAGGCAGCATGCACGCACAATAGCTGGGAAGTCTCAACTTTTTATTAACTCTTATGCAAAAGCTCTTGAGGTAGGTGTCGTTGCCCTTTGGTTTTTCTTCCTTTTGGCTGCCAACAAATTTGGCTCTTGTTTAATTGATGTTTTGCTTGGTTGAAACTTACTAAAGTTGAACTTGGGGCTTAGCCCAAATGCTTTACCCATCTCCCTTTGGAGATGGATTCCCGTAAGGCTGGGGTTCAATGCCTACTACTTGTGAATTCCGCTTCCATAATTTCCCCCTAGGCATTGGCCTCTTTTGTTCAAAAAAAACTTATTAAAGTTGTTTTTTAAATTTTTATACAAAAGACATGTATGGACCCTGAGATACGTATACACAAGTAGATATGCCAAAACATTAACTTGATGCTAAATTACACTCCTTGATTTTGCTGAACCTTGTGAACTAGGAGTATATTTTTCTTGAACTTAGATTCACAAATTTTATTTCATTTTCATGTCCAGGGGAGAGTCGGTTGTGTGAATAATTACGAGAAACAGTGTATTTGATATATCTGTGGGAAGATTTAATGTTTGGCCCATGTTATTTTATAAAATTTATTGTCCTTGCTTATGTATGCATTCATTTTTATATCACTATATCATACCTTCATAGTATGATTTTCTCATGATGTATGAACGCAATTTTTTTTTATCACGAGGACAATATATTTGGGAAGGTAGCACGTAACTTTACCTTGAAATCCTCTGTCAAAATGAAACTTTTACATTTAACAATGAGAGCAGATATTTGACATCTTCATGATGTATCTTCTCATCTGCAGGTTATCCCACGGCAGTTATGTGACAATGCTGGATTTGATGCAACTGATGTGCTGAACAAATTAAGGCAGAAGCATTCACTTCCATCTGGTTGCCGTTCTTTTCAAAATTTTCCCGTTTATGTTTTTTAATTTTTTTTCATCATTTTCTTCCCATTGTCATCAGGGAAAGATTCTCTTTTAACAGTTTGAGATTCTGACAGGTGAGGGTGCACCTTATGGAGTGGACATCAACACTGGTGGAATAGCAGATTCATTTGCAAACTTTGTGTGGGAGCCATCAGTTGTAAAGGTGGCTTGACCAATTTCCAACTAACAATTGGTTATCTGATGCACATTTTAGTTCTTTGCTAATCTTAATTACATAAATTTTGTGCCTCTGGTATCTAAAATGTTTGCTGACAGATCAATGCCATCAATGCTGCAACTGAAGCTGCATGTCTTATTCTAAGTGTGGATGAGACTGTAAAGAATCCCAAGGTAATTCCATGTTGTTCCCTATCTTAGAAGTGTATGCATGCTTTTTATATTTCATGGTGTGTTATTTGCTCCTTTCCATATGAGCCATTTAACTCTATATTGCTCAAGCATTTTTGAACCAAAATGCTTAGAAATTTTTCGGAATTTGGTGCCTTTACAGTAATCATAATTGCTCCTATTTTATTAAATTTGAGGTCAAAATATCAATGGGTTATTGGAGCTCACCCTTCAGTTCAAATTTTTTTACTAAGACCTTTATGTGGTTGATGACCCTTCTTGATGAAGCGTGCATTCTTGAAAAGCAATATACAATCACACACCAAAATCAATCTACAATTTGGGTAAATTAGCTTCTAACAAAGGAGTAAGAAACCCTAAATTTTATGTGAACTAATGTGGAGGGGATCTTAATGCTTCATTTGTCATTCAATATGTGCTAGACAATTATCAATTTCTGTTATAGAGCTTCAGTGGCTAAAGATATACAGTCTCATATATGAGGCTTGATTGTAAATCACTTAAACAAGTAAATGAGATTGTTATCCTCAGCTACTGAAGCTTGATTGCATTAGATTTGATCATTATCAACTCAAATAAGGAGCTTAATGCTGACTTAGCTTGAGTTCAAAGTCTAAACTTAAAATTAATATAATATCTAATTTATGTATGTATTTAATATCTGAAGTAATTCAAAATTTCAAAATCTTTAAGCTTGCAAGCCATTTGAGTTGAGTATTGAAAACCTGTAACATGGCTTGATTTGTTACTAGAGCTTTGAGGTTGATAGTGAACGAGTGGAGCTCCAAGTATTCATAGTGCCAAGCTTGAGTAGCTGAGTGGCAAAACAAAGCCTTAATTTTATTAATGCGGCATTGTGACCCACATTATGTCATTTTAGCTATCTACTTGTCAGCACTAATATGTGCCAATGCATTTGCACTGCTGTACAGCTCTTTCACTGTTTTCCCGTGTTTAATGTTGCAGTCCGAGAGTGCACAGGGAGAAGCTGCCGCAAGTGCCATGGCTGGCAGAGGGCGTGGAGGTGGTTTCCGTGGCCGCGGACGAGGAATGAGAAGGCGATGAGCCTTCCAGTTTTGTTTCCCAACTTGGGGTTCGATTGTTTCTTAAATCTATTTTTCAGAGGAATTTCTGTGAGGGCATTAAAACAAAAAAATCGATTCCTTTCCACAGGAATGATGAAATGGCATGCTTTCCACTTCCAAGAAAAGGGAGTAGTAGTTGTGAGGTATGAATTAGTTTGTGTTACATTTACATATGAATTTTATCTAAATTGAATTTCAGTCGGTTGCAAGATTTCTTGAAATCACGTGTATTCTCCGAATTATATGAATTTTAAAAATAAAAATTTCACTTGTTTTGATTTCTTTTTTATATAATATATATATATATATATATATATATATATTAAAAAGAGAATGTACGTATATACATAAACAGTTCGTAAAGCACCCAGACCAAAAACTAGATCTTTACTGATATTAAGAGAGGATCATTTGAAATACAGGTCCAAGCTAAATACCTTTTATTTTCAAGCCATTCATATGAATCAGATTGAGCAGTGTTATCAGAATTGGATTGGACCATGGACAGGACTATCTCATCCGGACTTTTGCAAACGCTCACCTTTCTTTCACTTATGCCTAAAAGTAAAATACCCAAATTCTATTCGACCCGAATGGACTGGTAGGGAAAATATGTTGCGAAACAAACGCCCACTTTCTTGGTTTGAATTGAATTACCGCAATGACGCAGCCAAGCAAGCGTCGCTGCTCTGGCAAGAGCTTTGAGCCTTCTAACTTCCCCCAAAATATCTAAACAAACATGTACTCCCTCACCCAAAATCGATACACCAAAGTACGTATAATACTTCAATTTTCATTTTGTCGAAGTCAAGTACCAAAGATTCACAAAGTCTCAGGCACACATAGCTACTTATATGTCAATTTTAGCAACTTCCTTTTATGTGCAAATGAAAATTAAGGCATTGACTAGAGTTTTTAGTTTGGTAGAGAGCTCATTGCGGTCATATTTTATGATTAGAAGATACAATGGTAAAATTTTTTACGAATATATAGTAAATAAAATTTATTTTTATAATGTAAACTCGTTTCATAAAATTTTCGCAAAGGGAATAGCGGTCAAGTCAGATTAAGCATTAAGAAAAACTTGGTTCAAAGTCAAGTCAGCCAACTCGCAACGAAATTGGATGGAACTTAATATTTAAAAGCTAATGATACAGAGAAACTTACCATTTTCATTTTAGAAAATTTCCAAGGAAAAAGAAGAAAACGAGTGCCCCATACGCCGTGCTAAGACTCTTGACTACATTGGATTTCTAGATTCTTAATACCTTATTTCACACGTAAGAATTGACCCACAAGTTCAAAACCCTTTGTTAATGTGCTTATAAATAGGCATTGCCCAAGCTGAGGAGATTGCATTGCATTGCTTTCTTTAACCAAATTAATAATGGAAAACAGAAAGGGGAAGAAGAGATCAATTCCCATGATGATGAGTAATCTTGTCATATTTCTCATCATCATTTCTCTTGCAATTCTACCACATATCTGCACTGCAAGGCATCATAATCCATCCCATCTAGCACCAAAAACACCACCATCCCCCCCTCCTTTGCATCAATCTCCACCATCACCATCACCAAAGAAATCTGAACCACATGGAGGAGGACGAGTGTATTATCTGCCTCCTAATCGCGTCTAGAAAAATGTCATCGTGCTCCTGCTAGCTAGCTGGCTATGTATACTGTATGTCATATCGGATTCTTGATTTATGATTTATGATTTATGTTCATATATATATATGTATTATTTGTGTAACTATGTATCTTTCTCTTTCTCTGGTGCAGGAATAAATAAAAGCGTGCAGCTTCACCAAATGTTTTATATATAAGGGATCGATCGACGAAAGACTTGGATGGAACTCCCAATTACTCGACCAAACACTTCTTAGGGTTGTTGCATTGGTTGGTGTGACCAAAGTTTTCTTCTCGTTATGCATTATACATTTAAGTGTTAAAAAAAAAAGCAACTAAAGTGACTTAAAAAAAAAAAATCAATTAAAGTGGGTTTTTTTTTGTTTTGTCAATCAAATCGAAACTCATGTAAAGCGCCCATTTATTCGTTTGATTTTGGTGATGTTGCCTTTGATTTCATCTTTTGAGGACTGCCATTATTAATTCGTTAACAAGCGATTGGTTGATATCAATAAATACTAGTATTTATTATTATTATATAATAATATTTTAAATAAAATAATAATTAAATTTTAATGAAAACAAAATTAAAAATTTCTTTAGATTGTAAGAATTACATTATATTAAAAAATAAAGGTAAAAAAAAATAAAAATCCTTAAATTATAATTAAAAAATCCAATTTTTTATTTTATAATTAATCAATCCTTTCAATATTTATTTGTATTCAATTAAATTTTTATTTAAATTAAAATCTTAATTAATTAATTTTTTTAATTAAAATAAAATTTTATGTAATATTAATAAAATAAATAAAAATTTGTTTCGTTACACAATTAATATATATTAAATAAAATAATTTTTTTATTTTTTAAAAATTTTCTCTTTCACTTTCTCTCCAAAATCTTTATAAGAGTTCAATTAATGTAATTCAAAAATTACTTGATTTCATTTTCAATTTTATCCAATTAAAGATTAATTTAACTAAAAAAATTAAAAATTTGATTGATTACAATAAATTATTAAATATAATTTAAAGACATTTTTGACCTTTAACCAAAAATAAATAAATAAACAAAGTATTTCAGTGAGCTGATTGTTACCATTGCCCCCAGTACAAATCCGTGTCTGCCCACAGTTTAAACCCAATTAAAAGACGGGCTTTTGAGTCGGAACAATGATGAGCACCGACTTAACAACCGCCTCACCAGCGCATCCATAAATTTCCTGCGGCTTCGGTTTTTTCGAGTTATATATCTTCTTGTTACTTGATTTTTCTTTGCATTCCTCTTTCTTGCCCTAAAAGCAATTGTAAGGATTTACTTTCTTACTTTCCCTAAAACATGTCACAAGATTACGAAAATAGTTGCCATGTATGGGATGTGGATTGGCAAACCCCTGAGGATGAGTCATTCCCTTGTGCTACGTTTATCATCAGGCCACCTTCACTTCTGCTGCTTCCTTCAATGAAGACGAAGAAGATGATGATGATGAACCCTGTTTCATGGAACCTGAAACTGAAAGTGTTGTTGTGGAAAAGACGCATGAGGTGAGGGTCGAGCATTTGATGAACAATAACGGCAACGTTTCCTCCAGCGTAAGAGTAAGAGACATGCTTTTCTCCATGGATATTCCCGTTCAAGATTTCATGGTGGAACAAATCCTGGCCTGCGCTCATCGTATGGGGATGACTGAACGGTACAGAAATCGAAAGGTTTTGAGAATGCGTGTGGAAATCGAGGCTGTTGTTAATGAACTACCGGATGAAGACGATGATGATGGTGAGGACGAGGATTTCGATTCCATGAGGAATGATAATGAAACAGAAACGGCAATAATGACTGAGAAGCTGAAGAAAGTTGTGGCTGAAAGGCCAAACAGTTGCTGCCCAACCTGCTTGGAAGATTTCTTGGTGGGTACAGAAGCCACAAGCATGCCATCTTGTTCCCATCTTTTCCATCATTGCTGCATTATGCCTTGGCTATACAAGAAAAACTGTGTCCCTTATGTCGTTCTCAGTTGAAGTAGGACCTGACTGTTAATTCTATGGAACATCCTTTATGTTTTTATTACGTAGTAATATTAACTGATTCAATTAACAATGTATTTAAATATACAATTTGTTTTTTTTTTTTGTTTAAAGTTGTTAGCAGTAGCCTAGCCTATGCAATTCAAGCACTTTTATAGATTAAATATTACATCAATCTAATTCCTATGTAATCATGTAACATGTGATGGGATATTTCAATCACTTCAGTCAATCAACCCAGAAAGATCAATTTTACACAAAAATAGGGTTGGACACGCCCTACTATATCAATCATTAATACCTAAGCGCAAAAACTATCATACAACAACTTCTAGTCCCAAGCTATTGATTCTCAAATATTTATATCCGAACATTAAAGGATTAATCTATACGAAGAATATTCAAAGAAGGAGGAGGCACCCATACTCGGGTTGCAAGGGTATACCTTATACCAGAAGCCTTTTTCACACAACACTCACTTTCAATCAAACGTGCAGATGCCCTGGCAACTGATACAGAATCATTTAGTTGTGTAATAGCTGCCTTGTCCGATATCCAAAAACTGTAGCAATCGGGAATTAGCAGACAGTTGTAACTAGAATTGGCCGTATGATTGCTCTACACAGGGCAAAGCCAGACATAAGGCAAAGAGAGAGCCAATCAATAAAATTAATGAAAAAAAGGAGAGATACTGATATTAGATGGACCGAGTTATTATAGAGTAAAAAACATTTGGGGCCCCCTTTGGATTCTCCTCTGGTCCTACAAATAGGTAATCATGCCACGGTAACTGTCGCTTTAGTTCCTAAAGACACCATTATAACAACTCATTTGCTTTAAACTCAGCTTTGTAATTACAAAAAACCGCATACCCTGATGTAATGGGCAGATCTTTCAATTACAATCATAAAAATCACTCAAGATAACTGTTTTCTCGAAATCAGAATGAGAAAAACGTGAAGTAGCCATAGATGATAACTTTCATATCAACCTTAATGGAGAGAAAACAGAATCAGGGAACAATACTCTCAAGAAGTCCCATCTTTCAAAGCTAGCTTAACACAAACAATGCTATAACAATTTATCTAAAGCTAAAAATAAAATTGCTAATGCTTCACATTTTCAAAAGCACATCTGCTAACTAGTAATACTAATAACATAATGATAAACAACCAATCAAATTGCAACTAACAAAAGGAGAGAAGCTAAGTCGCAATTGGGCATTGAATCCTACAAAATTATATAAAAATAGAACAGTAACAACAAAACCAATAATATCTGATGATTAAAAAGATCAAAATTTTAGCATAAAACAAAGCTTAAAACACTAAATAAGCCTCAAAATCTTAAAAACAACAGGAACCCAGGTCTCAAAACCTTAACTTTGTGAAAAACCACCTGTTTTCCCCGGTCTTAAACCTCTTCTCAAGCTTCTGCGTAGTAACCTTACAAGCAGAGACTTTCTTGTCCTTGCTTTGGAGAGAGTCGACCTTCACCAAATCCTTCAAGTCCAAATCCAGGGTGTAACGCGTAAGCATCACGTGCTGGTAATTCACAAGCTTTCCTTACGGATAACCTTGCTTGGATATTTCTTACTCCCTCCAATCAAGCAGTGACCGTAAGGGCGGTCACGGGTTCCTTAGTCAACGGATTTCACAACCACCACCTTGCGACCGGCGTAGCGGCCCTGGAGGACGATCACGGCCTTGTTTGGCTTCAGGAACTTCACCATGGCTGCTGCTGCTGCTGCTCCTCTCCGCTTTTCTTTTTCGCTCGGTTGTCTTCCAAAACGCACTGGTAGCTACGTGTTACGAAAAGGAGAATTGGGTTTTTTATTTTATCAGCCGAACTGAAACCTTGTGATAATTGATGGGCTCCTTCGTTTAGATGATCTTGGGCACTATGATTTGATCTTTACCGTCCAGTTGTATATAAATATATTCTCTAATTTGAAACGCACATCTTAATCCCAGGGACGAATCTAGCAGTTGGAAATTCTAGAGATAATATTTTTATTTGCCAATTTTTGTATTTGTATTATATTTCTTTTATATAAAATATAAAATTTATTATATCAAATTTATGTCATCATGTTAAATATAAAAAATATTTTTTATTTTTATTAAAATTTTAAATTATATTAATTTTATATTTTTATATTGTCGCATTGTATTTAAATTATCTAATATTAAAAAGATTTAAAATTCTACTTTAGCCCTCCAAGATTTTAATTCTGTAAAATTTTAAATTTATACGTTAAGATGACAAATATGTTCTTCTCTTTTTTTATATTTATCTAGTTATGCAATTTTTATTTTCATTTTGACAAAACTTTTTTTTTCATTTTGCCTCCTCCAAACACTGTTTTTTTTCCTAAAAAGATTTTGAAATGGAGAAGTTCGTAAGTTTAAAAAGCTTTCCTTTTGCAAATAAATTCTTTTATGAAAATATTTGGCTTTATTTGATAAGAAGGAAGAAAAAAATAATACAATGATAAAAATTGAAAATGATAAATAAATTAAACATTTAAAAAATTTAAAGAAAAAATTTAAAACTTAAATTAAAAAAAAGGAATCAAAGAAAAAAAAATAGAAAAGCAAAAGGGGAGGAAAAAGGCTAGTCGATGACAATTTGATTAATTTGAAACGATTAATCATCGATCTATTTTGAATTAAATAAATCAATATCGATCCAATTAAACAAATAAATTAATATTATTGATTTATCTCTAATTAATATCACCCTTTCACTTATTTCGTATTAATCAAATTTGTCAATGATCAACCTTTTCAGTCTTGCTTTTCTTTGGTCTTTTTAACTCTTTTCTTTCATCCTTTCTTTCCCATTCTCTTTCGTGCTGATCAAATTTGTTAATAACCAAGTCTTTCAATCTTATTTCTCCTTGCTCTTTTTAACTATTTTCTTCCATCCTCTCTCCTATCCCCTTTCACTTATTTGTATCGATCAAATTTATCAATGATCAATCCTTTCAATTTCACCTCTTTATGACCCTTTTAACTCTTTTATTCCATCCCCTCTCTCCCTCTTCCTCTTTCATTTATTTCGTGTCGACGCAATTTGTCAATGATCAATAGTTTTACTTTGACACCTCCTATATCCATCCTTTTAGCTCTTTCTTTCATCATCTTTCTCTCATTATTATTATTATTATTATTTTTATAAAAAAGATCATAGTTTAATAATATAAAAAAAATTATAAGTATTCAAATTCAAATTTTAAACTTGTTAGATACTACTTCAATGATTATATAAATCAATTAAATTAAATTTTAAATTTTTTGATTTAATTTTTAAAATAAAAAAGTTAGAGTGGCTTTTGGTCATATATCATGATTTTATTTATTATATTTTTTGTTATGATAGCTCGCTGTTAACTGAGTTAGTGAATGAAACAATTTAATCGAATTAAAGTTAGTGGCAATGGGAATACCTTATAAACTTGAGATTTTAAGTGCAAATATTACTTAGTGTGAATTTAATTATTCAATCATTTTCAGTTTAAAATTAAAAAAAAAAATTTAATTATGTTACTTGAGTTTATGGATTAATTTATTGATTTAATTATTTAATATTTTTGTATATATAAATATAATACTTAATTATTATTGTAATTTCACCGAAATAATAAAAGCTACAATATTTTAACCCTTTTATTACAACCCTTTTTTTTTTTTTTTTTTTTCTCTTGTCACGCCGCGCAACTGCGTGCGGTATGAAAATTTGGCTCTAGTTCAGAAAAGGCAAGAAAATAAAGGAAAAAAAACAAAGGGCCACGTACGCACACTCTTCAAGTGGGTGCGCACATTGAATTCCGTGCGCTCACACGGTGCACGTTAGCACTCTTAGAACTTCTCTGTCTTCTCCGCTTCAGATTTCCCCGCGAGACCAGAAACACACACAATTTTCTTTTCCATTCTCCAAAATTCCAATTCGGCCACCTATAATTCCGCACAATTCCTCGTTAACATCTAAAAATGGCTCCAGCCACCACCTTGGCGGCGGCTCGGCGTCTCGTTGGCTCCCGGCGCAGAACCGAGGCCCCTCGACGGCGCCCGTCGCCGTCGTCTCCACCGAGGAAGCTGAGACCTATGTCTGAGATAATGGCACGTGCGAAATATGCGGTGGTGGAACGAACTGACTACAGCAACATCATCTGCGAACAATGCGGCTCCGGTGAACGTTCCGACGAGCTCCTCCTTTGTGATAAATGCGATAAAGGCTTCCACATGAAATGCCTTAGACCGATCGTGGCTCGTGTTCCTATTGGATCCTGGCTTTGCCCCAAATGCTCTGGCCATAGGCGAGTAAGAAGTAGGTTTTATTTTATTTTATTTTATTTATTTCTTTTGTTGCCCTTTTCCCCCTTTTTTTTAATCTCTGTGACAAATGTGGGTTTTTTTTTAGGTTTTTCGCAGAAAAAGATAATTGATTTCTTCAGGATTCAGAAGACTGGTGATGGGAAAAACAAATGCACCTCAAATCAAGGTAAAATTTTGTTGAATGCAATGTTTTTGTTGTGATAATTTGCTACTATATTTGCCCTTTTTTTCGTGTAGAATTCCTGTTGATTTGATAATGGCTACCAAAATTGATTTGTAATGATTAATTTTTTACCTTCTTTCAGACTTTGTACAAAATTTTCGATTGGAAATTAGTATGAGGCATTGAAGGGAGAAAAATGCTGAAAATTTAAATAGATGAAATAAGAATATTAAACCCTTGAGGGTGCAGATATGATCATAGGCAATTTAATTAAGAACATTTGATAGTAATGTGAAATTGATAAATGGTTAAAATATAGAAACTATTAGGAATCTTGCACTAATGGTAAAGTTCTGGTTTCCAACTTGTGAAAAGGGCAGAAAATTATGGCAAAATCATATGTTTAAATCGGCTGAAAACTCTTCAAATAGTAATAGTTATTGATTATTGACATTCGACTCATCTGAATTTTTTCTTGTTTATGATTCTATAATGTGACTAAAGCTACTTGTGAGAGGTGAAAAATAATTGTAATAGTTGGTCATAAGTCGTAAGAGGTGGAATATTGCACACTAGGTCCTCTATTAGAAAGCCTGAAAAAACTGCATAACTACAATCACATATTTCCACTATTTGATTTGTTTGCTCTTTTTTTTTTTTCTTTGCAACGTACTGTTTTCATGTTCAAGTTATAATTTGTCCCCACAAGTGTTATTCTGTAATTAGTACCTTTATGCACGCATATCTGAGTTAAAATGCATGATGGGCAGATATTCTGCATATAGGTTGTTTTGATTGAAAATAAGGGGGTAAAATATCACCTAGTTGTAATATTTACTTCACTATTAAATGCCAGACACGCCTTGTGCTGTAGGCATTTTTTCTTACAGCACCAACTGCTATGCTTAAATACTCGTTATATATTTCATGATTTTACATGTAGAGTGCAAATCTGTAAAGAATATATATCATGGACTAAGGAAAGGAGTTTTGGGAGGGTATCATCATAGAGCACCTCTCACAGTCTTTTCTACAAATTTTCCTTGGCTCATGGGACTATGAATCCCCTTTACTTTTAGTTTCCAGGCTAAATTATCTAATGGTTCATTGATTTGATGGCTCTCAATGCTGATTTCAATTTCCTCTAATTGCTTGTCTCTCAAAGATGATTTTTAGAAAGGTCAGTTGTTGGAAATTCTCTTTCTCCCCCCACTTATTTAATTGTGATTTCTCTTGCAACTATCACAATTCTTCCTTCATCTTCATCTTTTGACAATCTACATGATATTGCAAATGCTCTTAGCAGTGAATTTTATGACTAATATGGTAACATAAAAAGTGAGAATAAAATTCCTAACTTAGGTAAAAAGGAATAAATATTAACAAGTGGAACAGGAATTTTATGTTGTAGCATCTGCAATCATTCTTTCCCCTATAAGTTTTAGATTTTTCCCCATACACTTTGAAGCAGGGGTATTTAGGAATGATGTTTACTCTATTATGTCGAAATAGATTTATAGATTCCAGATTGGATCATTACCTTCGATGAGGGCAGCACCTGAGTGCAGCTTGCAGCTATGAAATATGATATGTCTGTTTCCACAGAATGAATTCCATAATACATATAAAAATTCTGTAAATATTCACATAAATAGGTTTCTTTTGACACAAAATGGCATCTGGAGGGGATATCCTTAAATTCTAAAACTCAAATGTTCATGATCACTTTTTGTTGGATAATATTTAATGAAGCTTCCACTTTAATATTTTCATCATAAATAGTTCTGTTACAGACTATATCATGGTTTGAAAGTATGGAATATATCAACAGATAAAATACTAAGAATTTGAAGAATATTGACTTATATATTTGTGCTTCTTTTAGCATCAATTAATATATTATAAGTAATAAACTAAAAATAGTACTTTCTTGTGTATAAATTGTTAATATTCTGGAATAAAAAACCGGGAATTGTGGCACAAGCCAGTAAATACATTAGTGAAACAATATTATTGAAAATTTAATTACCAACATCTTCTGTCAGGGTTCTATTGGAGATATGATAGAAGGGAATCAATAAGAAGTAAAACCAGTTTATTGTTCTAACATTTTAAACCATTAGTAATTCATTACACAAGGCTGGAGTTGGTCACCTGCAGCATATATCAGAGCCTGGATCAATGTTCTTTTTTCTCGCCCAATAAAACATATATAATATTTGGTGAATGGTTTAGCCATTATCACGAGCAATTTGGTGGGCCATTTACTTAATATAGATGAATCTTTTGTATCCACCCAGATTGCTAGATTAACTTGTATCTATGAAGTTATATACATTACTTAATCCATAAATGTTTAAATAAGTTTTTGAATGGATACTAATTGGTTTATTGCTTAAAGGCAAAAAATTTTGCAATAGCAAAATTAAGAGTTTGTCAAGTGGGTTTCCCTTTCATGCACGGGGTACCAATGAGTGGAGCAATAATTAGCAGCATTGTTTTTCAAGTTGATGATGTTAGATGTATAAAGGGAGAACATAGGATAAGGTACATAACAGGGTATTATATGTATGAATTACACTATATTCGTCCTTCACAAGGTGTTATATATATGAATCACACTATATTTATTTTGCATGGGCTTTTTATACATGTTCACCGACTTGCATTCAGTGCTAAGAGCATGAGACAATGTTGCACAAATTGGATCTTGCGAAGCTTTCTTGATGGCCATAATCATGCCCTTAATTGACAAACATAAACTGATTTTTCTTACTTGTTTCTTCTCTCTGGACTTTTAGATACAAGAAAGCGTCGCAAACGTTCTAGATCATTGGTGTTGCTAAAGAAAAGAAGGAGACTCTTGCCATTTATACCATCTGAAGATCCTAACCAACGATTGAAACAAATGGGCACCCTTGCTTCTGCATTAACAGCAATGCAGATGGAATTCAGTGATGATCTAACCTACTTTCCTGGCATGGCCCCTAGATCTGCCAATCAGGCCAAGTTTGAAAATGGTGGCATGCAGGTTTGAATTTCATCAATTGTTTACATTTTAGAAATTTTATTTCTCTTATGTTTCTTATTAGCTGTGGTTTGTTGTTTTTCTCTCAGGTTCTTGCGAAGGAAGATATGGAGACCTGGGAACTCTGCAGAGCAATGTTTAGGAGAGGCGAATGCCCTCCTCTTATAGTAGTTTTTGATTCATGTGAAGGGTACCTTTATTTTGAGATACATTTTACTGTTGTAGTTATATTGCTGAACTGCATATTTAGTGTATTCATTTTAATAATGTGCTGCAGCTATACAGTAGAAGCAGATGCACAGATCAAGGATATGACATTCATTGCAGAATACACAGGAGATGTGGATTATATTAAAAACCGGGAAAATGATGATTGTGATAGCATGATGACCCTTCTTTTAGCAACAGACACATCTAAAAGTCTTGTAATCTGCCCTGATAGACGTGGAAACATTGCTCGCTTTATCAATGGCATTAACAATCATACTGTGTAAGCCTGTATAACCTATCTATTGGTGTCGATACTGCCACAAAAAATTAAATAAACAATATTCTGTTTTACTTAACCCCTCATATAGCATTTACAGACTATTTTCTCTACTTATCTGCATGCGTTATAGAATAGCATAGCCCATGTATCCCATGTGTTTTTCATCATGTAAGATTCACTCGGAATTTAGAATAGTTAGTGCATTTGCTTAAAACATATCGAATTTTTGTGCAGGGAAGGTAAGAAAAAGCAGAATTGTAAATGTGTGAGGTACAGTGTAAATGGTGAATGCAGGGTCCTTTTGGTTGCTACTCGTGATATTGCTAAAGGAGAGAGGCTTTATTATGATTATAATGGACATGAGCATGAATACCCTACCCATCATTTTGTCTGAATATCGACATATCGTACAGATGTTACTAACAATCCTACAGAGCTGGGATGCAATTTTGGATCCTCATAGATCATCATCTCCTTCAGTCATTTCTTTTTAAAATTTTTGCAGCTTATTCATTGTTGGTGGAGAGTCAAAGAAATTTCTTCAAATTCATGCATGGGCCAATTTATTGTAATTTATGATGTAAAGCTGGTCTATTTTGCAGCCATTAGCGAAAGACGGCAGGCAAGAAAATTTTTCCTTGGAATTTAGATGTTCAAGAAATTTATTTATGAAACAGTACCTTCTTCCATTACAGTTCTCTATGAGGGTTTTTAGTTTTACCAATTCCTGTCATTATACAGGTTTTTAAAATATAATTATTCTCTGGACTGCTACAGAGCATTTTCCTGTAATTATTCATCTTTCAGTCATACTCTTCATCTTTATATCACTCCCCCCTTTTTTTCCCAGTGAGAAGAATGTTTCATTTCTGTGGATCACAATGATACAATGCTATAAGAAATAGCTAAGAGCCATGGAGACAACAGGAATGAAGCTATGAAACCAGAAAACAGAAAGTCATGGTGGATCATATTCAAAATGAACACCAAGAAAGATGGTATTGGTGGTTGTCTTGTCTCATCCAATCAGCTTCGGTTGCTTGTGACATTGAAGGTGCTGCCATAGGCACTGTTAGAATTCAACAGAACAAAGTCATTGTGGGCTTTATTGTAGAGCACAGATTTCAGTATAAATTTAGGGGTTTGGCATGTAAATGAAAATTTACAAAGTTTTGGAATTGAAATAGAAAAATTCTATATTAAAAGCAATATGATGATACTCTTCAAAAACAAAAGCAATATGATAATACTATTAAATAATTTGGAATTAGGATCAAATTTACCATTGTACAATGAACTTATTTGTTAAAATTTTTCATTATACTCTAATTTTATTCAATTCATCATTGTACTTTCAATTTTGTTAATTTTTTAACAAAATTATAAAATTGAAATATTTTACGGAATACTGAATAATTTTATCACTACACTTCCATTTTTTTATTTTTAACAAAATTAATGCAATTGATATATTTTAGGAGATAATCTATTAATGAAAATGATAAATTTTCATAAAATTAGTTATTTTTCATTAAAAAATTAACAAAATTTCAAAAAAGTAACAAAATTCAATGAAATTGAAATACAATGATAAAGTTCAATATATGGATTAAAAGTAGAGGAGCAAATTCAACCTTAATCCCAAGTAATAGTTAGTAGTAACTAATTAGTAGTAAAATTATGTTATGGCAACTAATTATTTTTATTTTTGAATGAGATTATGTTGTAGCGAATTGCTTCTTAAAAATACTAAAGTTTAAACTCCAAAAAGTCTTCGGCCCAAAAAACCCATAAAAGTCCAATGGCCAAAAAGCCGAAAGCCAAAACCTGAAAATGAGCTTTCGCTGGCTTTGTATTGGGCTAATGAGTCCAGATAAGCCCATCAAAGCGAAGTCAGTGGTGTTTGGACTTGAGCAAGTCCAATCTTAGCATTTCTGAGGGTTTCTGATTAGGGTTTTACATTGCTCTACTTTCTACTTCACACTCTCTCTCTTCGTTTTCTTTCAATTCCCCCCCCCCCCCCCCCCCCAAAAAAAAAAATCATAATAAAATGACAAAATTCAGGAAGCTTAATCGACCCACGGGTCATCGTATGGCCATGCTCAGGTTCTTCTTTCTCTTCAATATATCACCTATTTTTTCTTTTTTAAGTTATAAATTTGATAGTTTGATTTTTTTTTCTCTTAATTTCATTTTTTTTTATTTCTTTCAATTTTTTTATAAATTGCAGAACAATGGTTTCCCAGTTGTTAAAGCACGAGCGCATTGAAACTACTGTTGCCAAGGTTCTCTCTTTTTAAGGGTGTTCCTGGGGTTTTAATCTTTGTAATTTTTTTTTTCTTTTAAGGCTTTTTCTGTTATTGGGTTTCTTCCAATTCAGTAATCAAATCTGGGTTCTATTTAATTTTCCTTAATTTTATCTAATTTTATGTTTCTTTTAATATATTGGTATTTCATTAAACTTTAAATGAATATGATTGCCTTGTTTCTTATTCATTCCATTGCAGGCGAAGGAAATTCGTAGACTTGCCGATAACATGGTACAACTTGGGAAAGAGGTATTTGCAACCATTTACTTGGTTATTTATGTTACCATTTATGTTTATTTTTATAATTGTTATAATCAATTAGAGCAAGTGTTTCTTTAATATGTTGACATAGGAAAAAACGTGCTTCCTTTCTAATATTGGCATGGATAATCTTTCAGGAGGGTAAAATGAGTGTGGCTCTTTCATTAATTTCTAGGTGATGTGACATTTGTCAAGTTGTGGCTTAATATTCACTTTAGAAAAAATGTAAGTAAATTGTTACTTCTGTGTGGAAGTAATTGATTTTTTTTAACTTTTATGCAACAGAATTTCACTGATTAAGGCAAAGGATTTTAGGTTTGATGCCGATTGTGGGTTTTGTTTATTTTAGAAACCCATTGAGGGTTATAGCTTGGAATTTGTGAACTTTTAACTTTGACTATCTCTAGTTCATGATAGAACATTCGAAGATTACTAAACCCCTATTTTAATTGATATCTAAAAGTTGGACACAATGGGATAGAAGGATGAATGGTGTTGCAAAGGTGTGCTATGTGTGTTCTTATATAAGTATAGGCATCAATCTAATAAATCAAAAGCACTAAGGATTACTTGTCCTGATATTTTGGGGCTAAATATATGGACTTAATATTGACTTTACCAACATGGGAAATTGTTAAAATAGCCTGAGATTCTAATGTGTGCTCAATGTTGATGCTGAAGTTGCCTTTTGGAGGTGGACATTATAGTTTAATTATCTGCTTAAGATTCTCTGAAGCTCTTTTAGCATTAAATTTGAACGTGTCATGATGTAGTTGTTGGCCATATCTTGAATTTTTGAATTGGTCAAGATTGATGAGAATGTATAGAAGGGTGATTGATTATCTTGGTCGGCTTTGTGGTGTTTAAAGTTGTTAAATACTAGAGTAAGTGCATAGAACCTTTCTTAGTTGTTTTACAAGATATCTATTCATAAGATATCTGAAAATGATGCGGTGGTCATCAGAGGTTGTGGTTGTTAAGTATCTGAAGATGATTCTATGGTGTCTGTGAGAAAATCAATGAAAACCTTTCTTGGATGCTTGTATTATTTGTTAGTTAAAAGTGCAACAAAATGACCAATTCTTTTAACAAATTAATACCTGTCTTTTGCTGACTCCAATTAATAAAATGGGTGTTGGATACTTAATTTCTTTCTTCGCAGTATTAACTCTGCCGTTATAATGTGGTATGGTTTCTTTTGATTAAATCTCATTTATCAAAATTGTCTTGTTCCCTTTCAAAATTCTTTAAGGGATCACTTTCTGCTGCAAGACATGCTGCTGCTTTTGTGCGAGGGGATGATGTCATTCACAAGCTATTTACGGAACTGGCATATCGATACAAGTGAATACTCTACCTGTTTCTTTCTTTGTTATTTACTGTTATGTCATATTGGTTCAATCCTTTGTGTTACAGAGATAGAGCAGGTGGATATTCAAGACTGCTTCGAACTCGCATACGAGTTGGTGATGCTGCACCAATGGCCTATATAGAGTAAGACTACTATCTATTTTGCTAATTGCAAGTTGTTTGTTGAAAAAGAATGTTGGCCTATTGCCACATTGAAGAGCTCCTCTGGTTGGATGCATTTTGAGATTTGGGATTTTTGAGTTCAAAATATTTGGCAGTGCAGACTAATGTCTGGTGTCAGACATCTAAGATGAGTTGCGCTCTTCATGTACATGAACAGATGTTTTACTTCTGTTATTGTGCTCATGTTTTTTATTCTAAGAAATGAAGTTAACAATCATATTGAACAAATGTTTAGCTGTCCTACTGAAGGCTTGATAGAATTTGCATGTTGATAAATCAAAGACGTGGAACATACATTTTGATAATTTGGTTGCACATTTGACTAGGTTTATTGACAGAGAAAATGAGCTTAGAGAGTCAAAACCACCAACTCCTCAGCCACCACAGAGACCTCCCCTTGATCCTTGGACAAGATCCCGGCTTAGCAGGCAGTTTGCACCCCCTAAAGAGGAGAAAAGCTCTGAATCTGAGATATAAATCATGAACCCTTATTCTCAGTGTTTTCACCATTTCTTGAGATACAGCATCTGCAAGTTATATCCTGATGTAGCATAGTTTAGCAGACTGGGCAGACTAGCTGTTGTTATAACTTCTTATGTGTTGCCGGTGACTGCTATTTTCTTGGGAGGGTCCTTTAAGCATGGAACAAAGTGTTGCTTTTGTTTTCTTAATATTCATGTGAAATTATTTTAATTGTTATACAAATTAAGTGTATTTTTGGTTTTTAGTGTCTACGGAAACAGTTCAGTGCAATAAGTTGTAGCACTTTGTTTTGTACGAGATTATTGACACCCAAGCAAGAGTGGCAAAAATATTAGTGAGCCAGCCTGGCTCAGGCTCTTATGTCCAGCCACAGTGTGCAACAACTTGAGGAAATCAAAATTGCAAAACAAGGAAACTTTATAGCATGCAAAAGAAAAAGGGAGTGGTGGCACAGCAAGATGTGGGCGGTGACTTGAGGTGCAAGTGAGGAAACTCATCACTTATCGAAATCCTACCCTTCCAAATTAGCCTCTTTTCCAGGCAAGTATTCTCCTATTTGACCCAAAAAAAAGCAATCATTTTTCAATCTACAATTGTCGACTACCTTATTGATGACGATTATTCATTATTATTATCCACCTTAAAATGTTACGTTATGCTGCCTCAAGGTCAAAATATGATTGCATGATACTATTATTTTTATTCAGTTTTTTTTTTTTCCAACGTTACATTGCTGCTTTCATAATAATAATAAAAGACACTATTACATCCAGAATATTTGACTCGATTAGTGTATATCTCTCCACTCCACGCCACTTAAAAGTTTTAAGATTTGAATCTCCTTAATTATATCCTGAATATATGTATATATAGAGATCGTTGCTAAAGAAACAAATCTTATTGTATACTAAAAATTAGTTGGATTGGTCTCAATTTGAATATATATGCTATTATTCGCCATCATATTTATTTATGTTGTTAGTTGAAATTTAAAATCAGATAATTGGTTGGCTTTATTACTTGAAAAAACATTGAATCTTACATCAAATTTACAATTAAAACATGAAATATGGTGAGGGATGTAGTGAAAAGAAGGTATAAATGTAGTGTCTAAAACTTAAAAACGCTTGTGAAAAAAGCCACAAAGGTACAGCCATTAATTATATATTTATATTTATATTTATATTTATATTTATATTTATATTTATAGGTCATCCGTCCTAGTTTGTAAAGTAAAATATATAGTTGAGATTTGTTTGATGAGTTTAGGTTTGGGGCTTTGCCGTGCATAATACTGTCAGTGGGACTGAGTTATCAATCGGTTCAACCTAGCAAGCAAGCAAGCAAGCATTAGCATCGAAATCAAAATGATGAGACAGATACCCAACTTTGAAGTACAGCATTGGTCTTGGAAATTGGAATACAGTCATCGCGGATATAAGGAAGCTAAGCCATCAGCCATTGCTATCGCTAATTACCCTCCGGTCCATAACTTCCTTTGCTTCAAATACAAAAATACACGCACGTTGTCACATCCCTGTATTCTCATCTCTCCACCATCTATTATTCTTTTTCTCCCAATAAATTCAACAATTATTCCAATCCTAGGTTAAGGTGCTGCAGTTATGTTGGAAATTAATTTCTTTATCCGATAGCACCATAGGTTACCACCTTTTTCTTTTTTTTTTTTTTTTTTTTTCTATTGGATCACATTAGATACGTATTATATTTTTTTTAGCACAAAAAATATTATAAATTAAAAATATATGAGAACATATTATAAATGTTTAAATTTGAATTTCATATTTATTAGATGTTAATTTTTAAAAATAATTTCATGAATTAATTAAAATAAATCTTGCATTCAAATACATAATATAAAATCATTTACTATCAAGATAATCTTATTAATTGAGTGAATTTACAATTATTTTTAGACTACTATTTGGAAGACCAAAGGGTATTGTAAAATATTAGATTACTAGTTTTTTTAATCCGTACAATGTATGAGAATTTTTATTAAATTTTTTATAATTTTAAATTTATTTTTTAATTATTTATCTAATATATAAGCATATATTTATAAATACTAAGTTACATTTAAATGATAATTTATACATAATATATTATAAATGATATTGTTCATCTAAAAGAAGTCTAAAATTTTGTAAATTTTCAAGAATTATAAAATTTTTTTTCATTAAAAATTATTAATTTTGTTATAATCATTTGCTTTTTATTAGTTCTTATTTTTGACATACTTCAAGTAATTATTACACAAATATAGTGGGCTAAAAATTATTTCTATATATGTCAATAAAATAAAGGTTTTTTTTTAGATAAAAGGGAAACAATAATTCTTCATGTTATGCTTAAAAGCTTTTTTTTGAAATATTTTTTTTAATTATTTTTAACATAATTGATAATATTTTCTGTGAGTTAGATATAGTAGTGATCATTATTTTTCTCATATCATCCATTGTAGACAAAGAAATTTAATAATAAAAAGTATAGCAAAATGAAATAAAAAATATAAATTTACATATTAATTTGTCAAGATTAAATATATACAATAATAAAAGCAAATATGTTAATAAATTAATAGAGAAGAAATGAATAAAACAAAAAATATATATAATACAAAAAGTTAATTATAATCAATCTAAGCAAAATTAAAAAAAAAGTTATGGACTAAAGAGAAACAAATAAATTAACCATATATATAATATAAAAATATTTGAATTAGAACATAAATAAAACATTATATTTGTTTTCAAAGCAAAAGCATATTTTTATCTAACTTTTTTATCAACATTCAAATATCTCATATTTTCATATAAAGATTTAAGCTTTTATTACTTTAAAAATACATGCTTTCTAGTCAATAATTCAATAACTTATTTAAAAGTATTAAATTTAAATAATCTATTAAATAATTTTCAATTTTTGATAGATTTTGATTTAAATTTAAATAATTATCTAAAAATATTAAATTTAAATAATTTGTTAAATAAAATTATTTGGCAGAAAATAAAATTTTATTAAGTATATATATTTAAAACTATCATTAAATTTAAAAAGAAAAGATAAATTATGATTTAATATATTTGAATTCAAATCTTATGCAAAAATTTCAATTTAAATAATTACCCAAAATATTCAATTTAAATAATTTATTAAAAAAAATTTATGTGATAAATAAAATAATATAAATATTATCTTATGTATCATTAAAAGAGATTATCCACCTAGCTAGGCATCCATATAAATAATTTTGATCATATAATCTTGTATGTTGTAAAATAATATGTATAGTAGATTATTTGAGAATAGTTTTTGCATTGCATGGGATACGTAGCGATGGGTGCAAGGTTTCCATCATACAAACAAGTCCCACCTTCTTTATCTCAACGCACAAGTTTGTGGTTATCATTTGGCCTTTTGGTGCGTCGTTGCCATTTTTTGTTCAGCTTAAAACTTAAAAAAGATATCTTATCGGCATCATTATCTTCAATAATAATGCCTTTTAATCAACTCATTCTACAACATATATTTGTTTTACATTTGGGCATTTTCTCCAAATTATATATGGGACAATGCATGCTTCACTTAATTATAATTTATATGCTAATCTTTTGTTTCAATTATTTATCATAATTTTGTTTTGATAAAATAATTAATCATACTTTTGACTAAGTATTTAATTGTGTGTGTTTGGTGAAATATAGTTGTTGAAGGGACCCTTAAACCTATATGTTTTCCCCATTATTCATATGACTTTTGTAGTAAGAAGATGGAAGATCAAAACAGTAATAGAATTCATTAAAACTTAGTTAATATTGTTATCCACGACACCAACCTCTGATTTTCCAAAAAGATTAACGAAAACAGAACTGAAAGAAATGTGTTACAAAAATTGTCTTGTCTTGTCTTGTCTTGTGAGGTAAATAATTAAAAGTGAACTTAATAACTATTTTTTTTTTTTAAAAGGATTGAATTGACACTCACGTTTGGGGTTGAATTTTAAGAAGCTTCCATTAGTTTTTTTTTTTGCTTAATTAAGTGAGATTGGGACATTTGATCATCTTTTCTCTTAATCCAAATTACTTCTATCATCAACCCATCTAGTTACTTTCATTAACCTAATCTGTCAACTACTCTTAAAACATGACAAACATTTCTTTTATATCACTTTTTGTTTTTCTGTTTTTAACTGCAGGATCAAGAACATATACAATTTGCCAGAAATCATTTCAGCACCGATAACTTAGTTAATGGCACAACAAAAAAATTAATGACTTGATGTAATATCTTTTGGTGGCACTGTCAATTAGAGATTTCAACAATCATCATAGGGAATCAAATTGGGAGGACCTTATAGGCTTTAATTAGTATAATTTAAATGAAATATATTAAAAAAAATGAAAGAGAATTATCCTTTAGTATCCATCTAAATTAGTAAAGAAGTGCATGATGGATGCGTAAGTAGTTATGGTGTAGCCCCACGATGAAATTTGTAAAAAGTAAAGGTTTATAAACTAATAAATAGTAGAATTATGAAATATATATACATATAAAAAAAAGTTGGTAAGAAGTCAAATTAAAATGATATTAAAAACTGAAGTAAATAATATAAAAATTCAAATAGACGTTACTCTATTATATTGCCTCCATTGATTTGTCTAGTTTTCAGGGCTAGCCTCCCCTCCATCTTTCTGTCAACACGAAAGACACAAAGATCAGAGGTTTAGTTTTTGCTCTCTCTCTCTGATCTCTAAAACATTGGTTTTGACTGTTTACTTGATTCTGGTGGGAATTCTTGGTTTACTTGATTAAGTACATGATTGCTTTCTTTTTGCAAAGTTGCTCATTGCAAGAAAAAAAAAAAAACCTCCCTTTGTTTTATGCAATTCTTCTTCAAGTTCTTTGGAATCCTTTCATAAAGAAGTTGATTAGTATGATTTATCCAAAGCAAAATAAAAGAAGTTGATTGGTATTTTAGTGCTTTATTAAAATGATTTTCTTAATCATTTCCCTTCATTATATCACTTTTTAATTGGTCCTTAGAGAATCATTATGTTGGTTTCTGTAGCTTTGATACCTTATGTTTTCGTTGTTTTTGTCTCTCAACTTTATGGATTTTCTTTTCTTTTTGCTATGGTCTTTTGTCAGAGGCTTTCCCCATAGACTAGGACCTAATTGCTTTTTTTTTTCGATTTCTGTGTGGATCAGATGTTGCATGCATGCCCCTGTTGCTAAAAGCTTAATTAGAAATGAGAGGAGTTATGGGAAACTTACCTGGTTCTGTCGAGACTAGACATCGATTATCTGCGTCAATGTGAGTTCCATCTTTCATTGGCATCTTTCTAATTGTTACTTAAATTTAAATCGCAATTACAGTTTCAGTATTGACACTTTCCTTAGTTTTTAGATCATTACAAGTAAGGCCAAATTAAAATATTTTTTAGAGGAATTCATTACCGAATTTTTCCTGGAAAACCCTTTTTGTTATAATGTGTATTCATAGCTTGTACTATGATTTGAGTGGACTGACTAACCAAAGAGCCTTGAGTTTGATATATAATTCAGCAGTCTTAGCTTCTCCTCAGGTTACTGGTTATTGGGTCTTTCTTAGCACCAAAACTGGTTGTTAATCTTAGTTTCTTATGAATTAGGCAAGTATCTGGTTATTAGTAAAACCAGCAACTTCTGTTTCTAATGGTTGACCAACCGGACGAGGCTGCTTTTAACCATGCGGTTTTCTTCTTGATGTGACAAACCAATTTTGGTCAGAAAAGATTTCCGCTGAGCTACAAATGCCGAAATCACTGCTAATATTTACATTACAGAAGAGGTCTCCAAAGACATTGCTTCAGCTTT